AGATAAATAGAGTGGGGATCTAATTCCAGGGCTGAATGAGGGGAGTCTTCACATTGTATAAAGCTAAAGGAATAACTGACATGACTCTGCCTCATGCTCTCATTTTATATCAGTTACTGATAAACACATTCAGGAAGATAAAAGCCTGGCCACCGTGGGGCCAGTGAACCATCTTGGTTTCCTCCTCGCCTCTATGCACTACAGCTCCCACCAATACAAGCAGAGGAGCTGTACTTACAACTGCATGACCTGAGACCGTGGTCTGCCCTCTGGTTCTAACTGATCAAGGTTAGCAGGGTCCCCAGAGTCCAGGAGATAAGTCCATCCCCTAGCGTGGCTGCAAGCACCTGCACATGCTGACCCAGATGCTCCAGGGGACAGAGCCCACTCCAGCTTGTGGCTGTCACCTACTCACGACGACAGACAATACTACCAAATGCTAACTATGTGCACTTTGCACAGCATTGGCTTCTTTATTCCTCACAACCAACCTGTGAGGAAGGTACTGCTATTGTCCCATTTTACAGGTGGAGAAACCAAGGCACAAAGAGATTAATCACTGCACCAGATCACAAGGCTGACATCTGAACCTGAGCAGTCTGGCTCGAGACCACAGCCCTCAGGGAGCAATTATTTTGCAGGCAGCCTCTTTTGGCCTTGGGAATCCTGGCACAGGAAGCTGTCCCCAAGCCTGCTCATCTCTCAAGGTCACCTCAGATGCTGCCTCCCCCAGACCCCAAAGATAAGCAAGTGTGCCCTTCTCTCAGCTCCTGGGCACCTCCTGTCCCCACCACGATCATGGCCATGTCTACCAGGCCCAGTGCTCACAGCAACCCTCCCTGCAGACATCTCATCCCTCCTGCTCAACTGCAACCCTTGAAGGTGGCACAGGGGCTTATCCCTCCCAGGGGCCCAGGGCTGCACAAAACACTAAGTATGCGCGAACTGTATGCCTGAATAAAAAGGTCCCTGCAGTCTCCCCTGCTCCCCACAGCAGACATGAGGAAGGACCACACTGTGCCTGCACACCTGCTTCCCAGGTGGCCTTAAGGGGCCACTCATGAGGCTAAAGGAAAAGGTTTACCTATAAAGGTAAACACACCTGATCTCGAACTTCCCCACAACACTGCTTCAGAAAGAGGAAAGGGGTGTGACTCCAGGAATTTGGGGATGAATTCAACTTTTTCACCAAACCACACTCCATGTCCTTATTTTCCACTCAAAGTTAAGATGCTTACATTCTATTTGGTACTCAAGGCCTGTGGTGTCAGCTTATAAAATAAATGTCAGAAAAGCAAAGGAATTCTGTAATTGTAGATTAATAATACCAAAATTTAAAAAAAATTTAAAAAAAAAGAAAAAAGAAAAGGAAGATACTATTAGCAATAAGGACAAAAAAAGAATTTTTTTTGGAAAGGAAAATGGAATTTCTAAAAGGAAAAAAAGAATTATATATGTGTGTGTATACATATGCATGTGTATGCATATGTGCACACACTTGTACATATACACATGTGCAAATACGTGTGCATATACACATGTGTGTGCATGTGTGTGCATGGGTATACACATATGTATGCATATGAACACACATTAATTATCATTCAGAACTGCTATGGCCGCTATGGCCAATCCAGAGAGCCAGGCTTGGCCCCATTACTTCAAATGGACACCAAAAAGAGGATTCCTGAGACCTTCTCAGTTCTGCCAAGAGATCACTGTGTGGCCTTGGGATCTTGACAATGTAAGTTCCAGATGCCCAACTATAAACTGTGATTTTAACTAAAACCTCCAGCACCTCTAAAATGCTGCAATGCCAACTGGAAGGAATCACAGAATCTACTTCTAGCCGAACTCAGAACGGGTTCCACATGGAACCAGTGATCAACATGTGGCTGGCTTACCTATTTGGAATCATGGAAAGGTCTATCTTCTCTCTGGAAGCAATGTAAGGGATCACCACCACTTTTTTCAAGTCTGGTAGTCCTAAGAGGAGGGGAGGAGATGACACAGCTTAAGGCCACCAGATACGTGCCTAATGATTTTTTCTTTTTACAAAACATAGCATGATGTAGGAATGGGGCCACATGGATTTTTTTTGCAGCTCACAGTTCCAGGGAGGTCTCTGGGACTCTTGTGGCCTCTTACCCCTTCCCCAACACCAGCTCAGACTCGGAAGGGCCACCCACCCTTAACGACCTGCCACAGCTTGTCCATGTGGCTGTACTCTTTGCCATTGTACACTACAGCCTCCACAGAGAAGATGAGCTTCGGCTGAATCTGAGAAAAGCGGTCCAGCACACCCTGAAAGTGGGAGAGAAGGGTGGTCACTGGTCAGCCAAAAGGCAAAGCCCTTCAGCAGCCCAGGCCATGGCAGCACAAGGGGGAAAAGCAGCACTATCAGAGCACGAGCCTTGTTCCTCCATCCCTGTCACCCAGTGGCCTATAAAGAGCACCAAGCAAAACACGACCTGCACCAGGAAACAATCATTACTTCAAGGACAGTGTCAATGTCCAAAGTACCAGAAGGACGTGCAGACATACACTGAAACAGCAAGTCCAAGGTTATAAAATGGGGAAATCAGTCAGTGACCATGCGCACTACCAAAGATCCCCATTCACAGGAGGAGCGATGGTTCCCCCAGCAAGCGAAGAGATTCACCTTCCAAAAAGGCAGCTACTGCCCTGCAAGATATTTCCATACTTCCCTTCTTTGTCTTCCATTAAAGAGGTACGTGAATGCTCCGAATAGTACTTTTTGCCAACCAAATCCATGAACCTACAAACATGCACACTAGCAAGCCCTGTCTAGGGAAGGAGGCTCGCCATACCCAGGTGCCTCTCCATACCACACGTGGAATCTGCCATCCTGCCAAGCACACCTTTCCCTGGAAGAAAACTAACCTCCCGCACGGGGAACTGGGCTGTTTCTGGAACTGACACGAGCTGACAGATGAAGCCTCACAACACACACTGCACACCCTGTGTGTGATGGCAAGATGACAGGTTCGGGCCCCAGCCAAGTCTCCCCTCCAGTTCCCTTCCAGCCTGCCCCAGGTTCAGACCACTGAGGAGCCCTTTTCATCCCAAATCAGCACCTGGGAAAGTATCACCCAGAATGGCTCTCCTGTTCCTTTGTCCATCCATCTGACACAAGTGGTTCAAGATCAGTGCCTGAGGCCAACCCAAGGGCACAAGCAGTGAAGCCATGACTTCCCATTAAACCCTGGTCTTGGACACTGTAGGGGTCAAAACTAGAAGTGAGTGGGGGTCAAAACAAAGACTGGGCTTGGAGGAAGCAAGCAGCTCACCCAGGCAGACAGTGGAACGGCAACACAGAAAATATGTGAGAAGCACAAGAAAATCTATTAGACTAATGAGTGTTAGGCAAGGTGCCAGGTACAAACTCAATATAGCAAAATAAATTGGATTCTTAACCCTAGGATTCTAAAATGGGCTAGAGTCACTGGTTTAGCTGGAAAGAACATTTTGCCAATAAAAACCTTAACGTTTACTGAATGTGCTAGGCACATCCTAGCTTACAGACACTCACACATCCGACCCTCCCCAACCCCTGGAGAAAGGCATTATTAGGTCCATATCCTTGATGAGCCATGACCAGTTTCAGTAATTGGCCCTAAGCTTCACAACTAGCCAGCGGCAGAGCTGGGTTTGCAGGCTGCCTCCTCTGCTAAGAAAAGACTTACCTACAGCAGAGCAAGGGGCTGAGATGCCGGGCAGAGTGAATTAGGAGGAAGAGAGAACCATGACTAGAGCATTTCAGAAAGCTCCAGAACGCCTCTGTGCAGAGGTCAAGCCAGGCGGGAGAGGAAAGGCCTTTCCAGCAGAAGGCACCCCAGGCAAGCCCAGGGAGGGGAAGGGCCTGCATGGGAGCCTTAGGCCAGGGAGGAGCCAGATGAAGCCAGACTGGGGAAGCCCTGGGAGGTGGCCAAGATGTCTATGTGCAATCCTGCACCTCTCCTGGATGACCGTCCCCTACACAAGGTGGCAAGAAACTCAGGGAGAAAGGACCCAGCCTGCCTGTGACCTGGGGCTCAGACATCACAGAGGTGACCCTCAGTCACAACGACAGTGAACAGACAGGAAAGGCAAGTGCTCAGAGTCAGAGGTCTGAGCCCTGCACCACAGGAACACTCAGAGGCCCAGGACACCAGTCTTCCTGGTTGGTCAAGCAGAGGTCAAGATCTCTGAGCATCTGAAACTAGCTGGTCTGTTGTGGTCCAGAAGAGAGCTGCTCCCTCGAGAACTGCTTCCATTCTGCAGGGAAACAGACATGTATATGCAGAGTCTGGCCTGAACACGGTGCTTAGCAACCTATCAGGCACTGACACCCACAGCAAGCACTGAGTCACGTGGACAGCCAGCCAGAGCGAGAGCAGCTGCCCTGGGTATGTGCACAGCCTGAAAACGCTTTGGGCAGTGAGGGCGGCAGGCTGTGGCTCAGCTCTGAGATGGGTGCACATCAGAGAAAGAACTGCCCTCACATCTTTGAAAAAGTCACCAACTTAACAGTAAACAGAGAAAAAAAGGAAAAATCAAAACCAAAATGTCGAGAAACCCAGACCTGGAGGTCTTGGTGAGGCTGGACAGCTAAGCACTCCTTCCGCCTGGTGATGCCCCAGCCCCCACACACTGGAGGTCCAAGCTGGGAGGGCCAGTGACAAGAGGGGAAGGGGGAGGGAGGGCCACACGGTGAGAAGAGAGGCAGGGGCAGGGCAGACACCAAGCAAAGGGCAATGTTAGAAGTGAGTTAGAGTCCCCTGGCATCCTCAGACAGCCTGCCAGACTGGCACATGGCATGGCAACACAGAGGGGCCCCCGCCTTCCTAGCCCAGCCAGGTGAGGAAAGGTCACCATGACATTTATGGGCAGGTAACCCCTCCCCCACACTTGTAAAATGACCGGTAAATAATCCCACAGCATGCGCCACAGCACTAGCACTTACTTCAGAGTCACTAATAATGCAGCCCCCTTGCAAGGAAACCCAATAGTTAAAATCAGGATTTGCAGGAGAGTGGCTATGTTCCCTTTATAATAGGGATTTCCAGTGATTTGCAACAGGACACAATTCAAAGTAGGAAAGACACTGTGTCTTTGTAGATTTCTGAAAAGTATCCTTTCCTGAAAAGGGGGACCATCTGAGGTTTAAAATGGTGATGTTGGAAATAAGAACGGAGGCCTCTTTTTTACACGGAGTTGTGCAAACCACTGAAGAGAGCACTGCCCGAGCCCACGTCCCCCCTCTTCAGCCCCAGTCCCCTCACCGTCATCCACTCAGGAATGCTTCCCTGCTGGCTTTAGCTCCTGGGAAAGCAAGGAAAGGGCACACGAGGCTCTGGTGTCATTGCTTTGGCCCAGGCCTTAGCATACAGGCAGCGGTGCCCAGGGCAGTGAGAACCATGGCTCCTTTCCTCAACCAGGGCTTCCAGGCCAGCAAGGCTCACCCTTAGGAGGGTGGATGCAACAGGTGGGTGGGAGCAGCCAGGGGGCTGTGAGGTCACCAGGTCCTGACACATTATCTGTCAGCTGCTAGCCACTCGCTCCAGAGGTGAGTGATGCCGATCACACATGTGCCCACCTGTCTCCAGCAGGATGGAGAGAGGGCTCTACACCTCGATACGTGCAACCCTGGCACCTGTTCCCAGAACTCAGGGCAGAGTGAAGCATCTCAGCAGGAAGGTGTTTGGCCCTGTCTTCTAATAGAATGGTCGGCTCTCTCCTAAGACTCAGGCCATCAACCACAAAGATTTCTGGGAACCAGGCGTGAAGACTGCGGTGTGAACAGAGTCATGCTGCCATCTAGTGCACGTGCATTTCTTGCACCTGAAGCAGCCCCAAAAGCAGTGATTCCAGCAAACCCCAAACCAGCCTCCAGCCAGGAAAGGAATGCCCCAGACACATTTGCTACAGGGCCATCCACTGACTACATCCCATATGTGCATAACCTGGGGACCAGAGTCAGCTGGAGTGGTGGCTGGTGGTGACATTTTGCACAATGACCCGTGAGAACAAGTGAATGATCAACACAGGCTGCTGGTGCTACAGCCCAGTGGGGAGACAGCTGGACACTCTAACCCTTCTGCTGTCGCCCAGTGGCACAAACCTGCCACCCAGTCCAATCCAGGAGGTTTTCTTGGAGGTCTTCCAGCAGGGGCTTTTTCCCAGTCCCAGAGGCCATAATCACGTCCCATGCTACACAGCTCTCCCAACATCTTCATGCCTGGCCTTTAAAAGTTAAATGTTCCATTTGCACTCAAAAAAACACCTACCTCTCAACACATTAATAGCTAACATTTGCTGACCTCAGTGGGTGGGTCAAGTACTGTCCCTACATGAGTATTAATTCTACAGTCCTCACGAGCTCCCCAACGGCATGTGCTAAGGACACAGTCAAGAAGCGGCAGAGCCAATTTTCTCTGCTTCCTGCAACACACCCCAAGACCTGCAGAAGGTCCCAGGGCAACTGTGCCTCAGGACCCAGTCCCAAGCTCCACAGAGATGCCACTGGCCCCACGCAGCTCACACAGGCTACTGAGGGCCGTGGGGACAGGGAGGGGTTCCAGTCCCATGGCAGCCCTTGCTGCCCCAGGGTGATCCTGGGTGAAGGCAATCTGGGAGGGGCCCAGGAAAGCCCCAGGGGGTGCGACCACAGCCCAGCCCTATAGCCACCAAGCAGTAAGGGTCCGGACTGCCACCCACTCCCTGAACTCAGAGGTCATGGACAGCCTCGCCAATCACTGCATGTCTCCTGGCCTTGGTGTCAGAGGAGTACTCATGAGCCTGCCTCACACGCTGTAGGGGAAATGAGATTTGCCCTTACTGAACTGCAAGCCCCAGGCAGACATACATCCCGCTCATACCAAACAACTCATACCAAAAAAGCCCCGCCTGTGGACCACTCAGATGACCACTGTGCACTGAGCTCCAGCAGCACTGCAACTGCATCTGTAGCTGACCCACCACAGGTTCTGCACTCATTTCATGATCCTGTCTCTTCCCGCTGTCCCTGTTCTGTGCATGAGGACGGATTACTCACCCAGGGGCACAAGGCCAGCAAAGCCAGGCCAACTTTTGCATAAGGGCCATGCTGGGAGCAGAAGCAGTGTGTGCCACAAGGGCAGTGAGGGACATGGATGCCCCCCTTGTCCTCTATCAGAGGTCTGTCCTCGTGGCTTCTGAGGGTCCCTCACTCCCTGGGTGGGGAGTGGGAGCCCTGTACATCTTGCCCTGCACTCTTTTGTTCTCCATGTTGGGGTTCAGTGTATGCTTCCTGCCCCGCCTGGGCCACAAGCATCAGCTGGATGCATCCTGGGTCCTCAGTCCCTCTGGGATTTAGAGGGATGAAAAGGCCCATCCACCCCCTGCACCAGGCGCAAAGCACAGAGCTAAAGAGATTAGAAATGGCAGTGACAGCACAAGGTGGCCTCGGGGGAACTTCTGTGAGCAAATGTGGAAAACCGTCTGCAAAGAATAAATGTTAGAAAATATCATGTAGTCCTGAAGTCACAGGAACAGTGACCAGGCATCTCCAGCTAAACCTCCACAACACAGCCTATGGACATTACACATGCTAACGAACGGGTTCCACATGGAACCAGTGATCAACATGTGGCTGGCTTACCTATTTGGAATCATGGAAAGGTCTATCTTCTCTCTGGAAGCAATGTAAGGGATCACCACCACTTTTTTCAAGTCTGGTAGTCCTAAGAGGAGGGGAGGAGATGACACAGCTTAAGGCCACCAGATACGTGCCTAATGATTTTTTCTTTTTACAAAACATAGCATGATGTAGGAATGGGGCCACATGGATTTTTTTTGCAGCTCACAGTTCCAGGGAGGTCTCTGGGACTCTTGTGGCCTCTTACCCCTTCCCCAACACCAGCTCAGACTCGGAAGGGCCACCCACCCTTAACGACCTGCCACAGCTTGTCCATGTGGCTGTACTCTTTGCCATTGTACACTACAGCCTCCACAGAGAAGATGAGCTTCGGCTGAATCTGAGAAAAGCGGTCCAGCACACCCTGAAAGTGGGAGAGAAGGGTGGTCACTGGTCAGCCAAAAGGCAAAACCCTTCAGCAGCCCAGGCCATGGCAGCACAAGGGGGAAAAGCAGCACTATCAGAGCACGAGCCTTGTTCCTCCATCCCTGTCACCCAGTGGCCTATAAAGAGCACCAAGCAAAACACGACCTGCACCAGGAAACAATCATTACTTCAAGGACAGTGTCAATGTCCAAAGTACCAGAAGGACGTGCAGACATACACTGAAACAGCAAGTCCAAGGTTATAAAATGGGGAAATCAGTCAGTGACCATGCGCACTACCAAAGATCCCCATTCACAGGAGGAGCGATGGTTCCCCCAGCAAGCGAAGAGATTCACCTTCCAAAAAGGCAGCTACTGCCCTGCAAGATATTTCCATACTTCCCTTCTTTGTCTTCCATTAAAGAGGTACGTGAATGCTCCGAATAGTACTTTTTGCCAACCAAATGCATGAACCTACAAACATGCACACTAGCAAGCCCTGTCTAGGGAAGGAGGCTCGCCATACCCAGGTGCCTCTCCATACCACACGTGGAATCTGCCATCCTGCCAAGCACACCTTTCCCTGGAAGAAAACTAACCTCCCGCACGGGGAACTGGGCTGTTTCTGGAACTGACACGAGCTGACAGATGAAGCCTCACAACACACACTGCACACCCTGTGTGTGATGGCAAGATGACAGGTTCGGGCCCCAGCCAAGTCTCCCCTCCAGTTCCCTTCCAGCCTGCCCCAGGTTCAGACCACCGAGGAGCCCTTTTCATCCCAAATCAGCACCTGGGAAAGTATCACCCAGAATGGCTCTCCTGTTCCTTTGTCCATCCATCTGACACAAGTGGTTCAAGATCAGTGCCTGAGGCCAACCCAAGGGCACAAGCAGTGAAGCCATGACTTCCCATTAAACCCTGGTCTTGGACACTGTAGGGGTCAAAACTAGAAGTGAGTGGGGGTCAAAACAAAGACTGGGCTTGGAGGAAGCAAGCAGCTCACCCAGGCAGACAGTGGAACGGCAACACAGAAAATATGTGAGAAGCACAAGAAAATCTATTAGACTAATGAGTGTTAGGCAAGGTGCCAGGTACAAACTCAATATAGCAAAATAAATTGGATTCTTAACCCTAGGATTCTAAAATGGGCTAGAGTCACTGGTTTAGCTGGAAAGAACATTTTGCCAATAAAAACCTTAACGTTTACTGAATGTGCTAGGCACATCCTAGCTTACAGACACTCACACATCCGACCCTCCCCAACCCCTGGAGAAAGGCATTATTAGGTCCATATCCTTGATGAGCCATGACCAGTTTCAGTAATTGGCCCTAAGCTTCACAACTAGCCAGCGGCAGAGCTGGGTTTGCAGGCTGCCTCCTCTGCTAAGAAAAGACTTACCTACAGCAGAGCAAGGGGCTGAGATGCCGGGCAGAGTGAATTAGGAGGAAGAGAGAACCATGACTAGAGCATTTCAGAAAGCTCCAGAACGCCTCTGTGCAGAGGTCAAGCCAGGTGGGAGAGGAAAGGCCTTTCCAGCAGAGGGCACCCCAGGCAAGCCCAGGGAGGGGAAGGGCCTGCATGGGAGCCTTAGGCCAGGGAGGAGCCAGATGAAGCCAGACTGGGGAAGCCCTGGGAGGTGGCCAAGATGTCTATGTGCAATCCTGCACCTCTCCTGGATGACCGTCCCCTACACAAGGTGGCAAGAAACTCAGGGAGAAAGGACCCAGCCTGCCTGTGACCTGGGGCTCAGACATCACAGAGGTGACCCTCAGTCACAACGACAGTGAACAGACAGGAAAGGCAAGTGCTCAGAGTCAGAGGTCTGAGCCCTGCACCACAGGAACACTCAGAGGCCCAGGACACCAGTCTTCCTGGTTGGTCAAGCAGAGGTCAAGATCTCTGAGCATCTGAAACTAGCTGGTCTGTTGTGGTCCAGAAGAGAGCTGCTCCTTCGAGAACTGCTTCCATTCTGCAGGGAAACAGACATGTATATGCAGAGTCTGGCCTGAACACGGTGCTTAGCAACCTATCAGGCACTGACACCCACAGCAAGCACTGAGTCACGTGGACAGCCAGCCAGAGCGAGAGCAGCTGCCCTGGGTATGTGCACAGCCTGAAAACGCTTTGGGCAGTGAGGGCGGCAGGCTGTGGCTCAGCTCTGAGATGGGTGCACATCAGAGAAAGAACTGCCCTCACATCTTTGAAAAAGTCACCAACTTAACAGTAAACAGAGAAAAAAAGGAAAAATCAAAACCAAAATGTCGAGAAACCCAGACCTGGAGGTCTTGGTGAGGCTGGACAGCTAAGCACTCCTTCCACCTGGTGATGCCCCAGCCCCCACACACTGGAGGTCCAAGCTGGGAGGGCCAGTGACAAGAGGGGAAGGGGGAGGGAGGGCCACACGGTGAGAAGAGAGGCAGGGGCAGGGCAGACACCAAGCAAAGGGCAATGTTAGAAGTGAGTTAGAGTCCCCTGGCATCCTCAGACAGCCTGCCAGACTGGCACATGGCATGGCAACACAGAGGGGCCCCCGCCTTCCTAGCCCAGCCAGGTGAGGAAAGGTCACCATGACATTTATGGGCAGGTAACCCCTCCCCCACACTTGTAAAATGACCGGTAAATAATCCCACAGCATGCGCCACAGCATTAGCACTTACTTCAGAGTCACTAATAATGCAGCCCCCTTGCAAGGAAACCCAATAGTTAAAATCAGGATTTGCAGGAGAGTGGCTATGTTCCCTTTATAATAGGGATTTCCAGTGATTTGCAACAGGACACAATTCAAAGTAGGAAAGACACTGTGTCTTTGTAGATTTCTGAAAAGTATCCTTTCCTGAAAAGGGGGACCATCTGAGGTTTAAAATGGTGATGTTGGAAATAAGAACGGAGGCCTCTTTTTTACACGGAGTTGTGCAAACCACTGAAGAGAGCACTGCCCGAGCCCACGTCCCCCCTCTTCAGCCCCAGTCCCCTCACCGTCATCCACTCAGGAATGCTTCCCTGCTGGCTTTAGCTCCTGGGAAAGCAAGGAAAGGGCACACGAGGCTCTGGTGTCATTGCTTTGGCCCAGGCCTTAGCATACAGGCAGCGGTGCCCAGGGCAGTGAGAACCATGGCTCCTTTCCTCAACCAGGGCTTCCAGGCCAGCAAGGCTCACCCTTAGGAGGGTGGATGCAACAGGTGGGTGGGAGCAGCCAGGGGGCTGTGAGGTCACCAGGTCCTGACACATTATCTGTCAACTGCTAGCCACTCGCTCCAGAGGTGAGTGATGCCGATCACACATGTGCCCACCTGTCTCCAGCAGGATGGAGAGAGGGCTCTACACCTCGATACGTGCAACCCTGGCACCTGTTCCCAGAACTCAGGGCAGAGTGAAGCATCTCAGCAGGAAGGTGTTTGGCCCTGTCTTCTAATAGAATGGTCGGCTCTCTCCTAAGACTCAGGCCATCAACCACAAAGATTTCTGGGAACCAGGCGTGAAGACTGCGGTGTGAACAGAGTCATGCTGCCATCTAGTGCACGTGCATTTCTTGCACCTGAAGCAGCCCCAAAAGCAGTGATTCCAGCAAACCCCAAACCAGCCTCCAGCCAGGAAAGGAATGCCCCAGACACATTTGCTACAGGGCCATCCACTGACTGCATCCCATATGTGCATAACCTGGGGACCAGAGTCAGCTGGAGTGGTGGCTGGTGGTGACATTTTGCACAATGACCCGTGAGAACAAGTGAATGATCAACACAGGCTGCTGGTGCTACAGCCCAGTGGGGAGACAGCTGGACACTCTAACCCTTCTGCTGTCGCCCAGTGGCACAAACCTGCCACCCAGTCCAATCCAGGAGGTTTTCTTGGAGGTCTTCCAGCAGGGGCTTTTTCCCAGTCCCAGAGGCCATAATCACGTCCCATGCTACACAGCTCTCCCAACATCTTCATGCCTGGCCTTTAAAAGTTAAATGTTCCATTTGCACTCAAAAAAACACCTACCTCTCAACACATTAATAGCTAACATTTGCTGACCTCAGTGGGTGGGTCAAGTACTGTCCCTACATGAGTATTAATTCTACAGTCCTCACGAGCTCCCCAACGGCATGTGCTAAGGACACAGTCAAGAAGCGGCAGAGCCAATTTTCTCTGCTTCCTGCAACACACCCCAAGACCTGCAGAAGGTCCCAGGGCAACTGTGCCTCAGGACCCAGTCCCAAGCTCCACAGAGATGCCACTGGCCCCACGCAGCTCACACAGGCTACTGAGGGCCGTGGGGACAGGGAGGGGTTCCAGTCCCATGGCAGCCCTTGCTGCCCCAGGGTGATCCTGGGTGAAGGCAATCTGGGAGGGGCCCAGGAAAGCCCCAGGGGGTGCGACCACAGTCCAGCCCTATAGCCACCAAGCAGTAAGGGTCCGGACTGCCACCCACTCCCTGAACTCAGAGGTCATGGACAGCCTTGCCAATCACTGCATGTCTCCTGGCCTTGGTGTCAGAGGAGTACTCATGAGCCTGCCTCACACGCTGTAGGGGAAATGAGATTTGCCCTTACTGAACTGCAAGCCCCAGGCAGACATACATCCCGCTCATACCAAACAACTCATACCAAAAAAGCCCCGCCTGTGGACCACTCAGATGACCACTGTGCACTGAGCTCCAGCAGCACTGCAACTGCATCTGTAGCTGACCCACCACAGGTTCTGCACTCATTTCATGATCCTGTCTCTTCCCGCTGTCCCTGTTCTGTGCATGAGGACGGATTACTCACCCAGGGGCACAAGGCCAGCAAAGCCAGGCCAACTTTTGCATAAGGGCCATGCTGGGAGCAGAAGCAGTGTGTGCCACAAGGGCAGTGAGGGACATGGATGCCCCCCTTGTCCTCTATCAGAGGTCTGTCCTCGTGGCTTCTGAGGGTCCCTCACTCCCTGGGTGGGGAGTGGGAGCCCTGTACATCTTGCCCTGCACTCTTTTGTTCTCCATGTTGGGGTTCAGTGTATGCTTCCTGCCCCGCCTGGGCCACAAGCATCAGCTGGATGCATCCTGGGTCCTCAGTCCCTCTGGGATTTAGAGGGATGAAAAGGCCCATCCACCCCCTGCACCAGGCGCAAAGCACAGAGCTAAAGAGATTAGAAATGGCAGTGACAGCACAAGGTGGCCTCGGGGGAACTTCTGTGAGCAAATGTGGAAAACCGTCTGCAAAGAATAAATGTTAGAAAATATCATGTAGTCCTGAAGTCACAGGAACAGTGACCAGGCATCTCCAGCTAAACCTCCACAACACAGCCTATGGACATTACACATGCTAACGCAGTCACACGCACAGACGGGGCATTAGGTATACCAGAAAGGAAAGTCTGTTACGAGATTTTGAAACAAGAATCAGAAACTCTGGGGCCTTTCTTCCCATTGTTCTCATGTCACTGGCCAGGGAGACAGGAGCCCATCATTATATCGTTTCCCTCCAGCCCTGCCTGTCCTACACGAAGCTGTCCCACCCCCTACCCGTGACATCAGGTGGGCAAAGCCCCTTCCCACAGAAATCACATAGGAATGTTTCTCCAGAGGCCGCTGCACCCCCAGGGCACTCACAGGGCACAGAGACACCCCTCTGGTGCGGCCCCTGACTCACATTCACACCGAAGTCTGGGGAGGTGGAGCTCCAGATGGCACCGATGCTCGCTACAGCCAGCATGGCCTCCACGGCGTGCACACTGTTGGGTAAATAACCTGTAGAGGGGACACAGGGAGAAGGTCTTGAGCTCAGCACATGCTGGATGCAGCAAACTTCCAAAAGGTACCCCTAAGAGCAGGAGTGAGGAGAGGGGACTAGCTCTGAACGGAGCCAGAAGCTCAACAGGCCCCCACCCACCCCAGCTGCCCTGACATCTCCTGCTTGGATAGCCCAGTGGCTTATCCTCAGCCTGTCCACTTGATGTTGTCACCCCCGCCAACCCATTCCAACCAGAGAAGTCCCCACAGCCCTGCTCGATCTGGCCCCTGGCCTCATCTCCCACACCACCGCCATTCTGAGCTCAGTCACAACAGCCTTCTTTCACTTCTTCAGTTATTCTAAGCTCCTCCTGCCTCAGACCTTTTGCACAAGTTCTCTGCTCGGCCTGAAAACTCCCGCACGCACCAGCCTTGCCTACTCCGTACATACTCATCCTTCAGCTATTAAAGCAAATGAAAATAAAGCCTTCCGCAAGGCCACCCAGTGAACTCAGGGCCCCTGGCCAGTTACCCAGAAACACACTGCATTTCCCCCTCATCAAATTTGCCATAATAATCACCTGTGTACAATGATCATAACATCTGGTTCTCAGGTGAGGGCAGGGAGTCTGCCTGTCTTGTTCTGTGCTTTACCAAATGCCTTTTGTCATACCCTACATAGCAAGGTTCTCAGATACTGGCCTGCTGGCTGGCGGGTGGAAGGACGGCAGGTGGACTTTTGGTGTGATGCAGGGAATGAGAGGCAGTAGGGGAATGAGGACCGTGAGCAGGACTGTTAGAGGCACACACAGCCTGCAAGGGGCAGAGAAGGGGCTCAGGCCTCCATCCATAGGAGCCTGGGCTTCTATGACAACAGAGACAGAGAATCGTTATGACCTCAGAGACTGTGATCCATTAAACAGACCATCCTAAATGTTCCAGAGGAAAGGATTTGTGCACAAGGCATTCAAGAGAAGGGCCGTGGCCAGAGACCACCCCTGACCACAAAGCCCCGTGGCTGGGAGCCCAGGGCTCCCAGGATAGTACACACCACCACCCACCAGCTGCCGTCTTGGCCACAGCAGTCGGCACTTCCATTTCTCTGGGCTCACTGTGTCTCCCCTGCCAGGCCAGAAGAGTCCCAAGGGGCAGGGGTTGCACACTGCTCACTCAACCCCCAGGGCACCACCCAGCATTGGCGTACAGCAGGCCCCAAGTTCGCTGAGCGCACCATGGAGATGAGGCTTGGCTCTGAGTGTAAACTGAAGAGGTGCCACTGCCCCAGGAAGCTGATGACCTGGTGGGGACTGACAAGCAGCTAGATGACTACGTCACAGATGAGAGAAACCAAATCTCACACAGCCCCAACTCTGCCTTGGAAGTCCCCCTCTGGAATCTCTTCTGGGAAGCACATAGTCTCCAGTCCTAGTAACTACAGTCAGGTCTTAGTATCCAAGCTGAATCACTCACAAAGGACCAGGCACCAAGTACCAGCCAGATTTTGAAGAGTCCAGGGACCACTGCCAGGTATTCCCCAAGAAAGCATAGCCAAGAGGGGTCTCAACCACCCATCCCAACATACCGTGTTCTCTGTTTCTCCTTCTCTTGGAAACATTTGGTCCCTTGGCCAAGACCCTGCCCAGCAGCTTCTGCTGCCACCCATCCTGTGACCCTGGTCCCATCACCATGGAGGGAAGATGACCTAGCACCACCCTGACCGCCAGGCCATTTGTCCTTGCCTGTTACCCTGTGGACACACACCCCCACACACATCTAAATTAAATTCCTTGGGGAAGAAAACAGGTCTTTAAACTTTCTCCAGAAGTAAAAAGAAAAAGAAAACTAAGAAAAGCACCTGAATGGCTCTTGGCAGGTTGTAAAAAATGAAAACTGGAGAGAAGAAAAAATTGGAGAGTAATAGAACCTTCTGAATTTCTTTCCTAGACTTAAAAAGGGTACAGATTAAATTGGACCAAGAAGAACCCAAGACACTGAGGTTTCAGCCCCAAAATGCCTGCTGTGGTCATGGGCCAGCACTCTTATTATTCCGTGAGTACTCATTACACACCCGCCATGTGCCAGCCACTCTGCAACTGACATGTGGCAGCACGCAGAAAGCAAAGACCATCCTCTGGGATTGGAGTACAGACAGACGGGCCCTCGCACGACACATGATCCCGTGACTCCAGGTGGGTGATAAGGACCATAAAGGGAAAGGAGACAGGGGTGACGGGTTTTCCACAGGTTAGTGGGTACGGCCTTTGAGCAGAGACCTGGACAAACCAGGATGAACCCATGGACATACAGAACATCCCATTCCAGGGCCCAGGTGGGCAGCAACCTGGAGCACCTCCTGCTATTTACTATTTGATTCCTTTCTAGTCAACCAACACACAGTGAGCAGGGCCTCCACACACCATACTGTCATCTTAGGAGGGGACACAGCATCCAGCCCATTTGCTTGCTTTATACATGATAAGGCCACCCTCTTTGCAAACATGTGCTGACAGCTACTGGCAGTAAATTCCCCCAGGGGAGGCACACCCTTGCCAAACACTGAGGTCCCAAAGCCAAGCCCCTGCCCAGCAGCTTCTGTTGCCACCCATCCTGTGACCCTGGTCCCGTCACCATGGAGCGACCTGACCACCAGGCCATTTGTCTTTGCCTGTCACCCTGTGGACACACCCCTCACATCTAAATTAACTTAAATTCCTTGGGCGAAAAACAGTCCATGTACAGGTCTTTAAACTTTCTCCAGAAGTCAAAATTTAAAGAAAACTAAGAAAAGCACCTGAAAGGTTCTTGGCAGGAAACTATAACTCTCTACCCAACCCTGAGCAAACAAAAGGGGCTGGGCTCAGGAAGGGAAAAGGAGCCAGGCTTACTCTCACATCTCAAGACTCCAAGCCTGGCTCCTGCCAGAACTTCAGTGCCTGAACAGCCCAATCCTGTGCCCCACACTCAGCCCCACTGAGCTCCTGCCTCTGCAGAATCCTTGACCTAGCTAGCCCTGGAGCCTTTGCACAGGCTGTCTCTGCTGCCAGGCAGTCCTCAGGTCTAACTCCTAAACACTCCCCTCTGTTAACCAAACCAGCATGTACTGCACACCCCAGAAGCTCCTAGAATTGTTTTAGGCTCTGGGACACAGCAGGGAACAAAACGAGAGAACTCCTGCTCTCAAGGATATTAGTGTTGTGGTCAGAGAAAGGCAAAGCAAGATAGTGAGGAATCAGGTCCTCAAGTAATAATAAAATTCAATGAGAAAACTCAAGGGAGGAGATCAGGGAGCTGGCGGCTGGTGGGAAAGGCTGCTGGGAGATGAAGGATGGGGCAGGGGCACACCAATTCTCAGCCTGTGGGTGGGGGTTCACAGACCAGGCAGCTCTCAGTGGGACACTGGGAGGAAGCAGAGACACAGGCTAGGAGGGAGCCCAGAGGAGGAGGGGACCTGGTACCTCCTCCTCTGAGCTCACACCCTGGGGCTGAACCTTTATCACAAGGCTTTGAGAGAGGTGCTTAGCTGCTTGTGGCTCCAAAAGGCCCTGAGGTCCCTGACCTCCTGGAGTTTAGAGCAAATGGAAGAGATTGGCAGTTAATCACAGAAACAAACATAATTACTAACAGTGTTGTGTGTTCTCTGAAGAAAGAGGACCAGATGCCAACAAGCAGGTGGCCTAGCCTTGGGGGCTTCCTTGAGTGGCATCTGTGGAGGGTGCTGTGGCGAGGAGGGGGACACCTAAGGCAGAGAGGAGCCCCATGCAGAGCCTGCTGACCCGCTCCAGGTCCCCATAACCAGCAAGGGTGGCGGGAGCCAGAGACTGAGCAGGAGGTGGACGCCATCATGAGCCACAGGGGCTGGTGCCATGAGCACAGCCTTACAGCCCAAGGAAAAGAAAGCCCTCCTCTTTCGTATAAGAACAAAATCTGATTTCTAATCACATAGCTGTGGGCCCAGAAAAGACTCTGAATAACCAGATACTTCAGCCACCCTCTACCACCCTGTTTAAAGTTGAAGAAGCTCAAGGTCCAGGGAGGTGAGATTCCTTATCCAAACGCAGCCAGTCCACACAATGCCATGCAATAAAATCTCATGACTCTGGGAACCCAGTGCCCTGCAATGCTGCTAAACAAATTCACACCAGGGAGGCCTAAGTGGGAGAAACCACAAAGTGGAAAGACCAGGTGGTGATCCCGAGAGGCCACGTAGCAGAGAAGCTACCAGCTGGGTGCCAGGCACTGGGCCAGTGGCTTTCTGATTGCCATCAGCTGTTGTGTATGGAACAATTACCACCCATCAGTTTAACAAATTTGTGATGGAGTGTTATGGCTGTGATATGCCATGCCTCTCTATAAAGTAATGCTTATTTATTACCTTCAAAAGCTGAGTATGTCCACTTAAGTGAACAACCACATGCACTGAAATTATCTACATTGTATAAATCAACCCCCATTTAAATTATATGCTTTCCAAATTAAAAAAAGATTGATTAGTTTCTCCTCTGAGCCTCGATTTCCCATCTGGGAAATGGGTAGGCTGATGGCTATGCACAGGAGGAAGTCATCCAAGTGAGTCTCTGCACTAGTAAAATCTCCTCTGCTGTGTTCCAGAGATTGGGAATCGGTCTACAACTGTGCCAGCACAAATGGCAAAAATCATAGCGTGAAACATCACCCATGGAAATCCCTCGGGAAAGCGCTGCTGGCGGTGAACAGAGGAGCTCCCAGGAGGTGCAGCCCCCCAGTGTCCCCTTGGCCTGGGGAGGGATCGCTGTCTCTAACCCAGCACCTGATGAACCACCTGGCTTGCGCTTCAGGACGTATTTAAGGATGTTTCTGTGAATATTGGGCTCCCAGTCTGCACACGCGGAGGGGCTCAAGCAGGGAGAGGTCCTGGGGCAGGGGCCAGGGACCCTCATGGCCCAACACACTGTCACGGGGCCACACAGAGATCTTGACCGCCCACTTCCAATGATCCTTCTTCAAGTCCTTTTTGCCATCCAGCTTCATGCGGAGCTGAAGTACTACACGGCTGTATGGAATCTGACCCACTCCACTTTACTCAAAAGTCGCCTTGACCTTCCAAGCTGTTCACCCTGTCCTGGGCTCCTCTGCCAAACCACAGCAAGCACCAAACTACTTACCAACCACTCGGTCTCCTTTTTTCACACCCATTTTCCTCATTGCTGCTGCAAACAAAGCCACTTCTTGCCGCAACTCTTCGAAAGTCACCTTCACAATTTCCTCCTTGCCTTCCCCTGGGGAGAGAAAAAGGCAGACTGTATAGAGACCATCCTGAAAAGAGAGGTTCCGAATCACAGACATGGAGGAAACCTCGCACCTGTTTCAGTGCAGGTTAGAACGAGTGCCCAGAAAGCAAGCAAGGGGCAAATTTACTCAACTTTCCTTAGACTGTGTGAAAGTCAGCTGGTGAAATGCCCCCACAGAATATGCCACTTAAAGATTTTTTTACTACAGGGAATGCTTTTTTAAGTGAAGAATCCTTTGATTTGGATTATGATTTTTTTTTTTACCTTTTCATTTTAAATTATGATAGATACCCAGGAAGCTGTGAAGATGGTCCATAGGTCCCTGTACCCTGCACCAGGCTTCCTCTGCTGGAGATACCCTGCACAACTCTAGGACAATGTCAAAGCCAGGACACTGACACTGATACAGTATGTGGTTGTCATTGTACAGTGTTTCGTGTAGCCACCACATCAAGATCCAGACCATTTCCATGGCCACAGATGTCTCCCTCCTGTTACTAGCTCCCCCCACCCCCAAGCAACCCTGCTCCCTGGCACCACTAATCTGCTCATCTCTCTAATCTTTCCTTTCAAGAATGTTATGTAAATGCAGTCATGCAGATGGCCTTGTGAGACTGGCTTTTTCACTCAGTGCAATGCTCTTAAGATTCACCCAAGTTGTTGTATGCATCAAGAATCCATTCCTCCTTCCTGCTGAGTAGTATCCACCTTTGGTTTGGTTTTGATATGCTTTTATTCAGACTCTAAAGGCAAGGCAAGCTCACTGTAGAAAACTCTGATAGTGCAAAGGAAATACGTGAGTAAAAATAAAATTATCAACCTATCAAAGAAATATGCATTACAACAGTGAAGTACTGATTTTCACCTAATAGATAGTAATAATGAAAAAGGATGGTGTAACAGCCAGCCTCCACCATGGCCCCCAAGGGCCCCTGCCCTGGCATCCATGCACACATGTAGATGCTCCCACATGGATGAAGGGACCTGAGCTGGGTAACTGATAGGATACTGTGGAAACAACAGCAGCTTCTGAGCCTTTGCCACAAAAGACACTGCAGCTTCCACCTGGCTCGCTCCAAGGGAACCAGCTGCCATGTTGTAAGGATGCCCATGCAGCCCAGGGAGGGGCCCACATGGTGAGAAACTGAGGTCTCCTGCCAATAGCCATGGGAGTGTACCCTCCTGGATGTAGACCTGCCAGCCTCAGTCAAGCCTTCAGATGACTGCAGCCCCCGCCAACATCCTCACCGCAACTTCACGAGAGACGCCCAAGCCAGAACCACCCAGCGATGCCATATGCAACCCACAGAAACTGTGATATAATAAAAGTTTGTTTTAAGCCATGTTTGTGGATAATTTGCTACACGGCAGTTAAAAACTAATACAACGAAGACTTGATGTTGCTTAGGTGTAGGGAAATTATTTTAATGTACTTCTACAGGAAAGGTATTAATCTTTGGGCCATTATCTTTGATACAAATATTTTATCCCTGATTGTTAATTGCTTTTCAGTTCTACAACATGAAGTATCTCTTTTCCAAAGCAAAAAAGCATCCTGACTTCCCTTTGGTATAAATTTAGCTTTTCCTATTTGCTTAAAGTTACTAAGCCCACAGTTCTTTTCTCAGCTCACTGGGTAGCCTTTACCTCTTCCATATTTCCACCCCAGATAATTTTCTATCCTATGAAAATACTAACCAACCTGAAATCTGCTGCTCAGAGACAAAATGTGCTGCACAAGGAGCCATTCTGAGAACTTAAACACTGGCAGGGTTAATGCATATTGTTTTTGCTCCATTCTTTGGAGCATGAAGGCCACTTTGTGCACACTTTGTTTTTAGAGGGCACCTCATGCCCTCACCCAGGATTACGCATAGGTAGGATACATTCTGCTGAGGATACCTGAGTCGCCACAAAGCAGGACTTCCCAAGCATCTGCCCACAGCTGGGGGAGTGAGAACAAATCAGAAACATGGAGAAAATGAAGCACAATTATTTTAAAGTCCCCAAGACAATAAACAGCCAATTTAGGACCCTGCTTAAGAGAGATATCCTATTTGTGAACTACACTTGATCCCTGGATTGAGGGCACTTATTTCCACTGCAAATGCAAGGACAGGAGAGTTCATTAAAAGGAGTTCAAGTGTTTAAAAGGGAAGGGATGGCAAGGGTGGGGAGGAGGACAGCCTGGAGGGAGAAGTGTGAGACACAGCAGACCTGGGATTTACCACCATACCTCCTCAACCCCCACTCAAGATAGAGCTGAGCTTAAGAAAAAAGGGCCTGGGTTCAGCCATCAAGTTCAGTCCTACCCTAGCCACCTGGAAGACTGGCTCATTTATCACTAGTGATCAATATTATTAGTTTCCAGGTTTGTTTTGTTTCACTGTTTTTAAGAAGATTCACATTTGACCTCACCCACTTTCCAGTGGGAGAAACCAGGCAGCATGCAGACTAGGAAAAGGAGACAAACATGAGACCCAGTGTTCTAGCTCTCTAGGGTTACAGAAGGTACCAATGTGCTGGTGTCCCAGAGGTTTACAGAGGCATCATCATGCCCAGAAGACAGGCCTTTGAGAGGTGCTCATGGGTGAACAGATGTGGTCCATCCACACAGTGGAGTATTACTCAGACATAAAGAGCAATGAGGCCCTGATGCATGAACATATGATGCTAAGTTTAAAAAGCCAGAAGAAAAGCCACACACTATAGGATTCCTTTCATAGGAAATGTCCAGGAAGGGCAAAGCCATAGAGACTGCCAGAGGCTGAGTGGGGAGATGGGGAGTGACTGTTCTGGGTGGGGGGTTTCCTTTGGTGATGACAGAAATGTTGTGGAACTAGGTAGATGACCATTACACAACCCCATAAATATACTAAAACCAATGATGTGTGTACTTAAAGGGGGTAACTTTATGTCACGTGACTGACAGCCCAGATGAAGATAGAAAGATCCCCTTACTTGTCTTACACAACTGGCGCATTACTAAAATACTGGTGAGCCAAGCAGGACCTCAAAGAGATAGCTGCACACCCATATTCATAGCAGCACTCTTCTACCTCACAAAAAGAGGTAGAAGCAACTCAAATGCCTATTAGCAGATGAATGGATAAAGAAAATGTATTCTATCCATACAAAGAAATATTATACATCCTTTAAAAAGGAGGAAATTCTGACCCCTGCTATAACATGGATGAACCCTGAAGACATTATGCTGAGTGAAATGAGCCAGCCACAAACAACAAATATATCTGATTCTACTCATATGAAGTATTTAAAGTAGTAATCATAGAAACAAAAAGTAGAAGCAGGGAAGGGAAGGGGAGAGGAAATTAGTGTTTACTGGATAAAGTTTTGGTTCTGCGAGATGTAAAAGTTCTAGAGATCATCTGCACAACAAGGTGAATACACTTGGCACTACTGAACTGTACACTTAAAAATGGTTAAGATGGTAAGTTTAATGTCACGTTTTTTACCACAATAAAAACAGAAACAGAAATGGAAAGGTGCCAAGATAGTATCTGAAAAGCACCTAGTGCAGTTTCTGAATGCTTCTGAGCCTCTCCCGGCCCATGTGCCTGCATGTAAGCAGCGTCTAGAATGTGGAGAGAAGAAAATCCATGGAGTTTTTAGGACTCACTTGCAACGTAAAGGGCAACCCTGTCATTCTCTTTGTGCCGCAGGAGGTTCTCTGCATAGTTAAGACGACTGCCTTTGAACCACTCAGGGACATCTGCAATCCCTTTTGATGTGTCCACAACCTGTACAGAACGACAGCATACACGAGATCTACACCTCAAATAAATAACAGCGATTCTGCTTCCCCGGGAGCCAGCTAACTTGCTGGCCCAATGCATCATTTAATCGTTTCATAGCCAGAACACTGAACCCATCTAAAGGCTTGAAATGGAAAACTGAAATTAGTGCCCTATAGGTAATAAAATGGTATTTTATACTTGAAAGTTGCTGAGAATAGACCTGAAGCATTCTCACCAGGCACAAGAAAAGTTAACTATGTGAGGTAATGAATGCATTAATTCCATAATTTATCTGTACATCAAAGCATCTTGTATACTTTAAATGTTTACAATTATATTTGTCAATTATTCCTCAACAAAGTTACAACAAAAAGTAATGTCAGTAGAAAAGACTATCCCCACTAATTTACTCTTTCAACAAATATTTATTAAGCACTTACTTTATGAACAATGCTGAAAATAGAAAGTAAGTAAGACATACGTGCCCCCCCCAACCCCCACCCCCATGATCCAAGCTCTGACTGGACAGTGGAAACGAGGACATCAAAAAACTATAGGGCCTACATACACCTCCCCACCACAATTTTCCAGACCCCTCATCTCCTTCCTCCAGAAGCTGAAACCTTGATTTTCTTCCCACATGCCTATAAATGAACCATTCAGAATGATACATCCCATAATGAAACCACAATACCACAGAACTACATACTTAAAGATGGTTAAGATGGTAAGTTTTATGTTATATGTATTTTACCAGTTAAATTTTTTTTAATAAAACAAAAACAAAACGATGCCCTACTATTTAGGGTGGCTCAAGTCTCCAGGACAGGGCTGGGGTCCACACACATCAAAGGACCAGAGGTTGCAGACTCTCCACGGGGTTGATGACCCCAGTCCAAACTTCTGCCAATTATCTAGAACAATGACTTTTTCCCACTAATGTGGGATTTCAGAAGAATATATGATTCAGTATTCCCAAAAACTGACCCTTCATTTTAGAACATAACCATAAAAAGATAATACATAAGCAGATTCTCTACTTACCTCATCATACATACGTGAAAACACAATTCCACTGAATTTCCAGAACTCTGCCCAGAAGTCTGAATATGATTCAACTGACCAATGATATAAGTCATCATAATTGTCTAAAAACAAAATAAAATGGCACGTAGCTCAGATAAATCTTAGAAGGAAAGTCTTAGAAGTTCGATAATAAGATGCACACCCTGGGGAGTTACAGGTGTGCCTAAGAGGTTCAAAGGCATCTGATGGGAAATGGTCTGGGTGAGGGGGAAAATCTTAATTTTTATTAGAGCAAACCCACCACTGCTAGTCCCCAAAAGGAACAAAAGCAATGAAGTAGTGATTTTATATCTTAACCATGTCCAAGAACTGGACTCTGGAGTCAGAAACCCTGAGTTCAAATCTTGGCTTGGCCATTTATTAGATGGGTGACCTCAGCTTAGGCAAGCTACTTAAGCAAGCTATGTCTCAGCTTCCCCATCTGTAAAATGGAGATGACTAACCACACCCCCTCTTCATAGCGTTACTGTGAGGATTAAAAGAGCACATGTAGAAAATACTTGGAACAGCACATTGGACATAAGCAGAGCTACATTAAGAGCTTGCTATTATTACACCATACAAACTTAGGAATCATATAGTAAATAGAGTTGTAAACCCAGAAATTCAAACCTAGAAGTCTGATGAATTCTCATGCCAGTACAATGTGCCAGGGTAGATTATTCATTTTGATTTTTTACAAAAGTATAAAAGGTTGTAAGGTAAAATGTTTCCCTCCCTCTTGCCCCACAACCATCTAACTTTTCTTGCCAAGGAGTAACCTGTTGAAGAGATTTCCTTGAGTCTTTCCAGAGATTTTATGCATAAGTAAATAACTCCCTGTTTCCACTCTGACACAAACAGAAGCATGCTCTTCACACCAGGTTCTAATCCTGGGGTCTTGGGAAAGTCCCATACCCTCTAAAAGCCTTTTTAATCTCAAGATATTTTCAACAGGATACACATTCATATGCCAGTGTTCCAAGGATATTCTACCAGGCGGAAGACGACAGGGTGTCAGGAGTGGAAAACCTGGCATAATACAATGGCTGAGCTGAATTCTGTCACTGACCTCCATCCACTAAACATGGAGCATCTCACTGTTTCCAGTCCTGGGAGAGGGTGCACAGAGGGGAGGAGACACAATGATCCGTGCCCATTAGCAGCGCCCCTTTATACCATACGGTAACTGCCCTGTCACGCTGGGCCCAGGAGCCGGTGGAGAACAGTCACTGAGAGCCAGGGCAGCTGGAGGGGCTGCCAGAAGGCGACTGGCCCTCATGTCAAGGGCAGGCTTAGGACATTGGCGGGAAGCCAAGAGCCCTGTAAAGAGAGCTGGAGTGAGTGGGTCTGTGGCAGGGATGGAGAAAGATGGACTCATATGAAGTGCTGAGAGTCGGCCTGGAGGTCACATAGCCGTGATAAGCACTCAAGGGCTTTCAGGCTCTGAGCTCGAGAAAGAAGGGGAACCTGGTTCATAGCAAAGAGACTAGCACCCCCTGCAAGCCCCACAAGAACCTCACCCAGCCCCACCCTACCTATTCAAGCCATGGACTAGGTCAACTGAGCACGCAGGGAAAATGCCAGACATAGTGTGTCTGGAAAGCTGGCACCAGCCCTGACTCTAGAGACTGTGCTTAGGGACCTCAGGCAGGCTGCTTTGCCTCTGGAACTTAGCTTTCCTCATGTGCTACCTGGAAATGGACTGGAGATATCCATGGAGCTCCCATGAGAGTGAAGCGTGAACCCCGCGCCCAGGGCCAGGCCACGTGACCTGTATAGGTCTCGGCTCTGTCGCTCACTAGACAACCAAGGCGGGGTACTTTGGCTGAGCCTCAGCATACCCACCTGCAAAATGGGGATAACAACAGTGGCTCCTTTATACTGTTGGGAGGCTCAGGAAGCACCTTGCTTAGACTGAGTAGGCTCAGGTCCTGCTACCCTCTCTAACTGGTGGATCTTGGACAAGTAATCTTCCCTGGGCCTCAGCCTCTTCCTCTATAAAAGGAAGATAATCATACTTGTTACAGGGTCACTGTGAGGTCTGAATGACTCAAAACATGTATAGCACTGAGAAGAGTGACAGAGAAAAAGTACCGGAACGTGTTAGCCACTGTCATCACACTGTCCCTCTGTAGGAGGCGGACACACGATAGCTGCCTGATAATGCAGGTGAGCTAAGACATGGGCTGTGGAGATACATGCAAACGTTAATGGTCCTCAGTCCAGAAGGAGAGCACAGCCAAGCCTGGGCACACTCTGGGAGAGCCAGCCTGATGAAGGCAATCCCACTAGAAAAGCAGGCCCTGTGGCTCCTCCACTGTCCCATATTTTTTTAAACCACCTTGGCCCTCACACACTGCAGAGTTCTGCCACCATGAACTCCTCCCAGCTGATACATGAGGCGGTCCAGGCTTGAAATTGAGACCTTCACTCCCAAGTCCATCACAAAGTGAGGCACCAACACAGCCCTGAGGAAGAGGTAAGCCCACCTGCCCACCTGGGGAGGGAGCACCCCCACAGCACCCAAATGGTCTGAGGACCCTAGGGGACGGTGGAGAAACAGATGGACTCCGTGGGAAGCCCTTCCACTGTTGACAAGTCATGGAACACGATTCTTCAGGCGAGAAGGGGCTGCTCACGCGCTCCTTGCCTCCACTCAGAGGCCAAACCCAGAAGCCCAGATGACCGCCCACAGGCATGTTTGGTTCAGTCTGCACGACATCCTAAAGAAACTGAACTACCTGCCAACATATTAAAATCACAGTTTTCAAGTGAAATTTGGTATTTCTGGCTTCTCCTGGGACAAGAGAGTATCTGACAGTGGTAAGCAGCCAATGACCCTCACGTCCTGGCATTTGTGTTGTCTGCTCCCCACCTTGAGCAGGGCTGAGCTGCGTAACCAGTAGGATGTTAAGGAAATGACCCAGCATGACTTCTGCAGCTTCCACCTGCTCTCTTGGATACCCGGTCTGGGAGAAGCCAGTGGCCTTGTGTCAGGCCTCAAGCAGCACTGACTCACTGCCATGTGAGCAATCCACCTGGGAGGTGACTCCTCCAGCCCCATCAAGCCTTCCAACGACAGCAGCCCCGGCCGACAGCTGGAAGGCAGCCTCGTGAAAGACCAAGAACGGCCCAGCTAAGCTACTCCCAGATGCCTGACCCACAGAAACTCAGAGGCTAACTGTGTATCACTGTTTTAGGTTGCTGTTTTGGGGTGATTTGTTATACAGCAATAGGTAACTAATGCACTGTCACACCCCACAGCAACAGTCAGCCAGAGCTGGGTGACAGCTGCCCCACCAGGCCCTTCACACACATGCAAGAGGCACGGATTCTGGAAACAAGCCCAGCTCCACTACTCACAACCATGAGGTCTCCACAAACTTGGAGCTTGTTTTCCCAGCTGGGGAACAGGATAAAGGCAGTACCTCATTGGCCAGGTTATTGAGGACTAAGTTAGTTAATGCATGTACAGTATCTGAATGGAGCTGAGCATACAGAAAGCATCCACTAAATGTGAACCATTAATATCTCTGTCACCTGCCTGGCTCCTGTAGGCTTCTGAGTACACAAGCCCTGCTTTCCACTCACCTACTGTGAGAATTTTTACCTTCAAATCTCAGCTCAAGATTTTATCAGCCCTTCTGAAAAGTGAAAAGCATTGAGAGACCTGCATCCAGGGAAGTGCCCAGGGGGCGGGCAGCACACTGCCCCACCAAGGACGCACATGGCACTCACTTGTGGCTGCTCTCTTCACGTGAGCTTTCTCCCTTCAATTTAACTTGAGCTATTTGAGAACAGAGACTGAGACCTCTACTTGTTGGCAAACTCTATCCCAGTTGCTTGCATACAGACATGATCCGCAGCTTGTGGTATAGAGAGACACTTGGCACAGTCCTCCAAAAAACACATACTTTAATGCAGGTGTCCCTCCCCCAATTACAGAGGGCTGGTACTTGCAGCATGTGCCCTAGGCCTTTCAAAAGAGGCCTCGCATCACATGCACATACGCCGGGCTGGAGCTGCAGGCTGCTCCCAGGTGAGAGGAGTCTGCATCCAGAGGACCACTGGGTGTTCAGGGAGTCTTCAGATGAGCTCTGCTATGAGTGACACAAACCAACCAACCTATGGCTCTGGTAGTAGAGAAGAGTATGTAACCACCATGGACCTGCACCTCCTGAATTTCAGAGATGGAAACTTCACACTGACCTTGGTCTGGGGAGACAGGCTCATGGGGAGGCAGCCAGGCTGGGAAACACCCACCATCCATCCATCCATCCTCAGGGCCGGAGCCCTGTAGGATGTGTGCCTTCCTCTCTGTACATCCAGACAGCAGCATTGCTCAACACTGTATACCAGCTGCACACAAGTCACCATTGGGAGCGGAGAAGACACAAGTTCAAGGGCACTGTCTTTAAGCAATAAGAATGCTCACAAATAAATGAAAAGACAAGGCAGGATGAAAGTACAAATCAATCACTGGAAAGACCAGCCAAAAGGAGAAAATATTTTTAAAAAATAATCAAAGAGAAGGCAGCATCTGAGTTGGATCTTAAAGCCCCAAACCTCCAGGGCCAGGCCTATGGAAAGGAGAAAAGCAGCTTAGATCAAATATCAGGATTGAAAGAAAAGACAAAGACAAAATCAAGATCTAAATCGCCCCCAGAGCAAGAGAAATCCCACTCCACTCAGCCAACTGCCACCACATGGGGACACAGACCCAGCATCACACATCTTGAGGTTTTCAAAAGCAGCTGGCTTTTCCAAAAAAGTCTGGCCTTTCCCATGCAACCTCCCAGGGTGTGAGCCTCCTAAACTGGTCCAATCAGGCCACGAGTCCACAAGCTTTGAAGGATGGAGAGGTGTTAAGTGGACTGGGAGGTACCAGTGGAAGTACTCAGTAACCTCCAGGGTCAGCTGCAGGTGAGTATGGGGCATGCTCATCTCCTGCTACCCTCACACCCACCCAGTGAACAAATCCTCTCATTATGCCCATTTTACAGATGAGGAAAGAGGCTTAGGGAGATCTGGTGACTTCCTCCTGATTGCTCAGGTAGGAAGAGGTGGAACCAGCTGAAAACCCAGGTAGATTAAGATCAGTCTCATGCACCTCCCAGTGCTACCCTATGTGACATCATTTCTAAAGCATTGGGCTAGACAAGCTCTGGGAGAGCAGTGCTATGTCAACAGCTGGCAGAGGAAAGAGATGGGATCCAGGCAAGGCAGCAGTTCCACTCCTGGCTCTTCTTGGGAGTTAAGTCTGCTCTGTCCCCATACAACACACTTTAATGTACCAACTACTACTACCACTACCAACTACTGGGCCCCCAGAGTAATAAGCCACACCTGTCTCCATAGTGCGAGCAGGAGTCGGGGAGAGAACAGAGCTGGGAAGGGGCTCAGGGCAAGCTGACACCCACCCTGCTGTGGAAGGCTTAGAAGCTGCCAGGTGGCACTGTTTGCAATTCCACGGTCAACAAGGAGCCATTGTGAGCCTCTGAGCCGAGAAGTGACAAAGTCAGACCTGTGCTTCAAGAGGTTCTGGCAAAGCAAGCTGGGGTGGGGCGGAAGCAGGAAAACATCAGCATTCAGGGAACAGGAATGAGGACCCCAGCAAAGCGGGGGTATGAGGAGGCAGTGCTGTGAGATGGGCTCCCCCAGGCAAGGCAGATGACTTCTCTCCATTTCTGTGAGGGTGACTGAGGACAGTAATGCCACCAACACAAACTCAGGAGCCCAGGGAGGTAGCTGAGGGCTAAGAAGGGGAGGCAAAGGCCATGCAGAGCTGCAAACCCCTGAGCCGTGAGGGTCCAGCAGGCAGGTGGACAAGACAGCTGGAGGTGGAGGAAAGCATGGCTTCTCACCCAGATAAGGGGCCTTCCTCTGCCCAACCCACCCCAGCCAGGTGTTCTGAGGGCCAGGGTGTTGGCAGGAAAGAGGGCCCCTGACTAGGTTCTCTCTGGGGCTGGCAGTGAAAACATAAGGGGAGGGAGTTCCACCCCAAGCCCGAAAGCAACTGCCTAACTGTCCTTCTCCTAGGTGTCCAGAACTCCATGCTGGCCTTGCAGCACGGTCAACCTGGGGCACAAGCACGGGACAGCACAAAGTACTACTGGCTGGCAAGTGACACCCACAATCGAAGTAGAAAAGCCCTCTGTCCGCGGGCTGGAGTGCAAGGCCCCAGGGAGCACTTGCTTCACAAGTAGGAAGCCTAGCAAAGGTGCTCTCTGTCCACAGGGGTTCCAAGGCTACCCTCCCAGGGAGATGGATGCTGCAGTCCGGCACCCCAAAAGCAGAGGAGGTGAGGCCCGGAAAAGACGAGGCAAAACCCCACAGTCAAAAGTGCCCCACCCCCTGGAGAGGGGCCCCAATGTCCAGTGGTTCCTCCAACCCCCCAGGAGAGGGCAAATGGAAATAGGAGACCATTCTTACAACGAGGGGGCACCCTGAGAGGAACGCCGGGCAGAGGTGGTGTCCCGGTCCGCAGGAGGAGAGCCCCTCGGATCCCTGCCGGGAGCCCCAGTACCGGAGGCCCCGGCCCCGGGGAGGTGGGGTGCCACACTCACCCAGCGCTATGCCGCAGGCGGCGCCCACCGCCGCGCGGAAGCGGTCCATTTGCGTGTTCTTCTTGCTGTCAGGCTCCCACATCACCTGGCACTCCAGGATCTCGTCTCGACCGGCCCGCAGCTCCTGGGACATGGCTGCGGCGGGGCGGCGGCGGCGACGGCGGCGGGACGAGACGCAGCGGCCGGCGGTGGCGTGGGCAGCGGGGAGCGGGACTGAGAGCAACCAGGGCGCACCTACGGGACACCCCGCCCCCTGCTGCTTGGGTACCGCTCCGCCCCGCCCCGCGTGTAACCCTCCGCGGGCCGCGCTCGCAAATGAGCGCTGCAGCTGCGCCGCCGCGGACTCCGACTCGCGCACGCGCGTTGGTGCCGGGCTCCCTGCCCTTACCTGCGCGCGAAGGGGTTAAAGCGGCGCAGGAGCGGGACGTAGGAGGCAGCTGGCCCAGGCTGGTGTTCATTCATTCTCTTGATTCGCTCCTCCTTCAGGTGTTTACTGAGCGCCGTCTGGTACCAGGCTTGTTGCCGGGTTAGCGAATACGGCAGTGGACAAAGCAAAATTTCTGCCCTTTGTCAACGGGAGATAAGGGCCAGGGACTGGTGTAGGGAGAAATGGAGACTGACAACAAATAAATGCATCCTGTATATGTCACTTATCGTAAAATACATAGTATACCAATGAACATCGTATCATACACACTAGAGTAACACATATACACTTTATATAATAAAAGGCATTATGTGCTACGGAAAGAAGAAATCGGGAAGGTAGAAAATGTGACTGGAAGCGTGTTTCTATTTAAATAGGATTATCAAGGAGTGTCCCACGGAAAAGGTGACTTCTACTCAGTATCTGGGGGAAGTTTCCAGGCAGAGGGAGCAAAGGGTGCTAAGGCCCTGGCGCAGGAGAGTATTGAATTTAGAGACCTATCGGGAGGCCCATATCTTCGACTTGAGACACCTGGGGTAGAAGATGAGGTTAGTGAAGGATGAGGAGGCAGCTTAGCTGGTTCTTGGAGACCTTGGAAGACTTTTACCCTGGGTTACATAAGGCCATTGGAAGGTTTTGAGCAGAAGAGGGACATGCTCTGACTGTAATTAAAATAGGAATCCAGATGCAAAAATACTCAATAAAATATTAGCAAACCAAATTCAAAAATGTATCAAAAGGATCATACACCATGACCAAGTGGGATTCATCCCAGGGATGCAAGGATGGGACAACATTCGAAAATCCATCAACATCATCCACCACATCAACAAAAAGAAGGACAAAAACCACATGATCATCTCCATAGATGCTGAAAAAGCATTCAACAAAATTCAACATCCATTCATGACAAAAACTCTCAGCAAAATAGGAATCCTTCTGGCAGCTGGGTTGAGAATAGTCTTCAGGGAGGCAAGGGATTCAGCAGGAAGATCAGTTACAGTGATGTTGCAACTATTGAAGTGGCTGAACCACGTGGTAGGTTTGAAAATGGAAAGAAAAATGGGACTTGGGCTCTATGTGGAGGTTTATTTACTGTGCTCCTACTGTACATTGGTGCTGTGCTAGGGACCTTCCTGTATTCCTTGTAGTTTGTTCTCACAGCCACCCAATCAGCTTCCCTTCAAGGACAGTCTTTTGCAGTGTTCGACTTTCATGAAGCAACCTCCCACCTCGACCACTCAATTTTAAACAGCTTCCATCTCCAGTCACCACCAATAAACATCGATTCTAACTTAAAGCAGGGTGCTTGCCACATAAACATGATGTCCAGAACAGCCCCTTCCCTGAACTCCTAGTTGAGGGGGGCCAGCTCTAGTTCTTTGTCTCCCAGGTATCCCCTTTATGAAGGTTTGAGTCCGTCTCAACTCAGAAGCTTCATCTTTGAGGGATTCATGTATTTCTGTTCATTGCTTTGACATTAGAATATAAATCCTCATCTGACTGGCTCACTTTTGGGTGCCCAGAGCTGATCCTCAGTGGGAGCTCACAAAACATTCATTTACTCAGAAACGCCTAGCGAGTGCTTGCTGTGGTCTAGGCAAGCGGGTTCTGCTGTGAAAAGCATAGACCCTGTCCGCTGGGGGCACGGAAATCCAGGGCTGACCAATTCTCATGGAGAGGACAGAAAGCTGGATTTATACATCTGACAGCCACTTGATTTATTCTTAATTCCTTCAGTTCGTCCCACACAACCATACACAGCACCTGTAGGAGAACCCAAAAGAGAGGGAAGTTACCCTGAAAATACTGGGTACTTTGTCCTCACCACCTCTTTGATGCTCTCCCAGACTCACAAGAGGCTTCGAACGTAGCTTTTCAGTCCCCACCTTGCTACTCCATATTCTTTTTAACAAGATCAGAGAGGCAGAAGAGGAAGCGATTCAGGAAATTTCTTCCTGTTTAAAATGGGAACAAAGCTGGAAGAGCCCTTCTTAACCAAGGACCTTAAACTGCCTGTTTTCTATGGGTAACCTCTCCTGGATCCCTGCAATCCCCATCTTCCCCTTGCAGCTGTTGCTTATTTTTCATTTAAGGATTCATATTGATACTACTTTTACCCTACACTCCAGATCTGTGCTTCCTCATCCTATTCCAGATGCTTCAAAAAAATTGTAAAGGATATGGAAATTTGCCAGGCCAAATACACTTACACTTTTATCAAGGACTGACCTCCCCATCATTTCTTTGGAATTTGCCCTGCCTCTTCCTCCATATATAAGGCAACTTACACACCTCTTTATTTCTCCCACAGTGACATGTATTGTTAGGTTTTCTATGTTTCAAAGTTCTTGCTGTTATACAGTTGACCATTAACCAATATAATAAAGTATGCAAACAAGTCAAATCTTCTGGAATACATTGAAAGCAGTTTAAAAGGAAAGGCATGAGTATTTGGAATAGCAAGGAGTTTACCCTGGGAAAAAAAGGCCCAAACTAATCGTCTGGTGGAGGAGTAGCTTCCACAGTTGAGGTGGAAGTCAGGACTATCTCAGGAGAGTCCACATAATTCTGACCATATGAATCTCATTTTTCTCCTCTCTTCTCAAGTCCTATTTCTTCATGCACATAGAAACAAGCACCACAGTGCTAAGGTACAGCAAGTGTCTGTCTTAAGGAAAGACCTGGAAAAGAAAATAACATGGTAGACACTGATGGCTGCTCTCCCACTAAGACTGCCACAAAATTCCAACTTTGGAGCCTCTCCTGGGATTGTATCCAACCCAACGGATTGTATCTGGTCTTAAATTGACTTCTAGAAAATTTCATCATGTCTTAAATGAACTTTTCTTTTAATGAGCATTTTATAACAAAATAAAATGAGAAATTGCTGTAACTGGAATGAATATGCCCTAACGTAATTGAATAAAATGCATTTTTGTCTATTTTATTGATTAATGCACACCAAATTTGAAATAAATTGCATTTAAAAATGTGTTCTTGGATGTTCTTCAATGTATCTTGAGAAATTCAGAAGTATTGAAATACTCCTGTTTCAGTTAAAACAGTCTGTCAGTAAATTTCACTGATTTGGTCATTCGAAAACCAGTATATTCCAACCCAAATCAAACTTCATCTTTAGGAGAAATGTCTATGCCAGAAAAAGATAAGAGAATAGCATTCACTCTTTAAAGGAGGTTTGGGCGCTGGGTTGCTGTTCACGCCCCAGGACAAGGCACCCGCCAGGATGGGGGTGAGTTACCAGTACGCCTCTGTTATTTTTGTTAAGTAGCTGAAAGGCAATTGAGAACACAGATACTTTCTCTAGCAATTTTATAGGCCTTACATGTAAACGGACCATATAATTGCGTCAAAGAATCTGTGCATCCACACAGCCCTTGGAAATTCTTTGCACACCCCTTAGCGATTAACATGTCGCAATTTAAATGCCCTCTAGTCTAAGCCAGTCACAGCGCTCCTTTTTCTCCTTTGCCACTGATTGGCCCCGGGTTTGCACATAGCCTAGTTCTGGCCAATGAGACCAAAGGGGTATGTGATGAAGGCCTCGGGAAAGTTCTCCCGTGAAGGAGCTAGTTCCTCTTTTGCAGGGAGCCGTAACAGGCGTTTGCGGCACCAACCTGTTGTTGAAGAAAGCCCATTAACAGAATGGCGGGACAGAAGTGGGGAAAGCCTAGATCCTCTCACTGAGCTGCCTGAGTAGGCCCTGGACTAGCCCTGGGCTTCAGTGGGAATAAGCAGTAACTGTCATAACTTGCTGCCGAAAGCATTCTAACTAAACAGTCACCAAAGGTCATTTCACTTGTGCTTTCCCTTGGAGGGCCTTCGGGCCACTTTGGTACCCTTATCACACGTGATGAAGGCATACCTGATCTGGCAGATCCTGAGACTGCAGGCCTGATCTAAAGATAGGAAATCATCAGTAATAACTAGGGAGGGTCAGAACCCACCCACCCACCCCGCAAGCCAGAGCCCTTTGTCACAGCTCCTGTCCACAGGACAGGGAGAACAAGAACTGGAAATCCTCCACCTTAATGAACTGAAGCATCCAGCCCAGAGCTCATCTTTGGGAAGAATCTTCCAGAAAGAGGACAACAAGGGCAAAAGCCCTGAGGTACGCTTGGCACAGTCACATGGTAGTGGCCATACAGGGTCTTAGGGGCCTGTAGGGTAATTTTACTCAAAGTGTGATTAGAAGCCATTTGGAAGTTTTGAGTGAGAGTGACGTGACTTACACTTTGAAAGGATTATTCTAGCTGCTGTGTGGTAATAGAGTGAGTAGGGTCAGGTTTGGGGATGGCACGAAGTTGCAAGCAGGGAGACTTGTTAGGGGGATATTGCAAAAGTTCACCTGGGGTATCATAGTGGCTTGAACCCGGGTAGAAAGCTGAAGATGATCTATCTACAGATCTATATACCTGTATATAACAGTAAACTTACCTAGACGTATGTCTTTAAGTATCTATATATACACACAGAGATATTTGGAAGGTAGACTCAAGATGTTAGAAACCAGTACTTGGAAACCAGATGAGATGGGAGCAAATTCTGGCTTAAAACTGACTGTCCTCACGTCATAATCAAAGGAATAATGAGTGGGACTAAAAGGAGAGACCGGAAGGGGCAAGAAGCTGACATACTTCCATTTCTACAGCTACTCGCACAACAAGCTCTACCAGGCCAGTCAAGAAGATGAAGTGGTGATTCCAACTGGAGACTCAGGCAAGTTCCCAAAGTTTATCAGGCCATTCTGGTTCCAGCCTGTTTCCCAGCGCTTCCCAGGAGGTGGAGCACACAGTAGCAACTCTATAAATATTTGTGGGAAGATTGAAGATACGGTTCAGAATTTGTCTGTCCAATCTATATTGGGTATTTCTTTTGGACATTTTGGACAGCTTAAGTTTTTCTTTTATTTTTATTAGAGTTCTTTTATTTGTATTCATGATTCTTTGGGGTTTGTTTTTTTTAAATTTCTTAGTATGTCACGCGAGAGTTTGCGGAGGGATCCTTAGAAGCAGGAGATTTCCCTAAAAAGGTTGCCCATCTCTCCTCACTTCTCCGCTCCGCAAGATAGCTTCCTTTCCTTCTTCCCCAGGTTATCCGCCCGCCGCCGGGCCAGAAGGCCTCCCGCTGGGCCAGAAGGGCTCTCGCAACGCCGGCGGAAGGATCCGGCAACAAGCACGCACCACACACGGCTCACACGCTGATTGGCCTGCGGAGAGCTGGCCCCACATCAGGCCGCCGCGCCGTTGTGAGTTGCGCTTGTGCCCCAACCAATTGTAAAGCTCTCCGGTGCGGGGGCGTGCCCCTGACCAATCGTCAAGAGGACCCAGTAAAAGGCGTGTCCAATTGGAGGGGGGCAGGGGGGCGGGGTCGCCCTTCGATCTCGAAGGCCGGGCGCTGTCACGTTGACAACGTGGCGGTCCTCCGCCAGCCTGTCCTGCCCAGGCGCGGAACGCTGAGCCTTGGCCTTCCGGAGTCAGCCCCCTGCAGGGCCGAAGAGGCTGTGCGTCTTAAGTGTCTGGGACCCGCCTAGCCTTTAATTTATTTGTTCAGATATTGGGATCCTGCCTGTGCAAGACGGTGCAGTGGGGGAATCACAGGGAACCCGACCGAGTCCACTCGGCAGCAAGTGAACAAATTTATCAGATAACCCAAGTTAATGAGAAGCGGCCCAAAGTCATAAATAGGGTCAACGAACAGAGAGCGGCTGGGGACAGAGGTGGGGAAGGGGCTGCCTTTGACACATGGTCCCAGCTAACATTTGGGTTCTTGAACTACAGCTGTGATCCGCGTCACGTGGCATATTCCCGCCATCAGCTCTACCTGACTGTGGGGCCAGCAGAGGCGCGGGGACTCGCAGGCTGGACCCCCACAAAAGCAGGTGCCTACCAGGAGATATGATGCTCTTCCTGTCCCAACTGGTCTCACGAGCTTCATTACCCCTCCTGAAGGCAAAACGGGTGTGAGGAGCTCTTTAGGGAAGGGTCAGTTCTGCCTTGGTGTGAGGTCTTGAGAAACTGAGGGACCTTATGAAGGTGGCTGGGGAGGATCCCATGATGCCAACAAGCCGTGAAAGTGTTTCTGGGGAGGGCTGTGTCTTGCGGAGACCAGGTCTTCACATCACTGCAGCATGACCCACTCCCCCAGGGCAGAACCGAAGGAAAATGACTCTGCCTTTAGCTTGCGGGAATTGCCTTTCAACATTTACAACATTTACAGAGCATTTCCTCTCTAAAACGTAATACACTACCCACCCAAACTCAGAGGTTGAAAGAAAGGGTCACTTAAATTTTTTTCAGTATAGGGGAAAAAATAAAAACTACTGAAGGTGGATTACACTTAAAGTCTGTTTCAAATGTTTGCATTTAATAAGGTTGTGCTTTCAGTTATTGCTAATTATTTTAATAAGTACAATGTTAGAATATATATACAGTGCAGTGCATGTAACTCAGAGAATTTCAGGATATATTAGATTTTAATTCATTGCACATTTATGATAGATGGTGTGTTTAAACTTGTACGATGAATATGGTATACTTTCCAAACTATCAGTGAATCTATGACTGTAGAAATAATCATTCTTAGAAATAAGTTCTCAAGTCTAATTTGAGACCTTTGTGAAGGTGGGAGCCAGAGCCAAATTAAATAAATATAAAAATATGTAAATATGATGAAACACCCTAAAGTAGAAGACAAAAAAGACACTCCAGTCATGTAACTCTAGACATGAAAAGATAACCTGAGCTTACAACTTCAGGCTCTCATAGGGCTGCGTACTGATCCATCCCCTTGTCTGTCATTTTCTCCAGTTCTTTTATTTTAAATATTTTCTCAACATAGAGCTATGGATAGAATATTTATGTGCTGTTTATATATGAATTCTCAGCTTTCAAAAATCAGCTCTTTTAAATGATGGTATTATTTTTTTACCAATACTATAAACAGAGACCTCCAATCATTGAACTGAAACACTTCCAGAAGAATTTTGACACAGAAAGTAAGTGTAAGAGAGGCAGAACTTTATTGTCACAAAGCAGTGTAAATTTTTCCCTGTAAGTCTGACAGGACACAAAATGGAGTGGGGACAGTGAGGGAAGGAAACATCATCTTAGCTTTATCAGGCACTTTCTGACTTTCATATGGGCTTAAAACTGGTTTGACCATTTCCCCCTTCTTAAGGCTCCACTTCTAACTCCAATTGGTTGAGGCTTAGATGCCGATTACACACTCTTTTATGAGATAATCTCTTTGCAGCATTTCTTTTGCTAGTTGTTAATTTTCAATTTCATGGCCTATAATTTACATTTTCCCAATACTTTGTTGTGTGACTTAATATCTGATCACAGCAGCTTTCCAATATTTAAGTCAACTAAGAAGGAGAAATATCAGCAGTGATTGGAGGTAACTGATATTATGTCTTTAATGACTGAAAGGTTGAATGTTATAGCTGGCTAAGGGTGAATGTTTTAAATGTGAGATGTGGTAGTTGAAACTTTTAAATGATAATATCCAATCTAAAACTTGCCTATTGTGAGAAAGTAATCTTTAATAAGTGTTTAGAACCCACAGTTCCCATTGGACAAGAAAACAGGGCCCTGAATTTTTAATATACCTTTGAGATTCAGGAGTAGACACTTTATTTACTGGTCCTGGTTTATTATAAAAGATACAATAAAGGATACAGATGAAGAAGTACATAGGGCAAGGTCCAGAGAGGGTCTTGAGTTCAGGAGCTTCTGTCCTCTCAGCATGTGGATGCATTCACCAACCCAGAAGCTCTCAACATCCCCATTGTTTAGGGTTTTTATGGAGAGTCTATTATACAGGCATGATTGATTAAGTTATTGGCCATTGGTGACCAATTCAGTTCCCAATCCCTTCTCCCTTCCCAGAGGCTGAGGGTTGGGGCTAAATATCCCAGCTCCCTAATCACACAGTGAGTTCTTCCAGCATTAGAACAGGCATTTGCATACATGCCTGTTTTCATTCTTGAGTGGTTATTTTGCTACTGTGAGAATCAACTGATAGCTAATGTATCTAAGAATATTTAAATAAATTGTTTATTGAGATTCTGTTTACACGTGTCAGAAATAAGCATTTGTTGGTTTAATTAAAGCTGGCCAGCTTTCAGTTAAGGCAGCACCTATCACAAATGAATATATGTTTCAGGGGTAAAACACTGACCTTAGCAAAAATTGTTCAGCATGTGGGGAAACTGGAATTCTCACACATAGCTGGGAAACATAAAGTGGTACAACAACTTTTGTTGCCAGGCAGTCCAATCTGGCAAGATCTCCCTGCAGGCTTGGTGAGACCTCAACCCGGGAGGGGGCTCTTGACTCTGACTGAGAAAGAATTCATGAACAGGTTAGATGAGTACAGGTAAGGAAGGGATTCATTAGGGCAAGAGTAGAGATGAATGGCAGATGCCCTGCTGGCAGCTGAGTGCAGAGAAGGGCAGAAGTAAAGAGGGAAAGTTCACTGAACTCCTTGGCACAGGGCAAATCCTTTGCCATCTCTTAAAGCCAGGGCCACCTGGCATCCTGTCTGCTTGGATCTGCATGGCATTGGGACTAGCCCCTACCACCCTGGGATTTGGGGGATCCAGAGCGCAGGATAGAGTGAGATTCTGTTCTGAGAAATTCCTAAAGAAAGGTGGTTTTCAGGCAGGCTACTAAAGAGCAGATTGTGCAGCTGCAGTTCGATCCAGGTCACCCAGACAATGGAAACATGCAGACCCAAAGCAGAGCTCTTAGCAGCCCCTCCCTACTGGTCAGGAGTAAAGCAGAGACAGAGTGAAGTCCTGGAAATAGAATGAAATAGCAAAGAGACCAAGAAGCTTGCCACTGGAAGAGCGCAGATGCTGGACTCCAGCTCCAGCGAGTCCACGAATCCCTGAAGGATGGATGGCATCGGTGATTGACCAAAATGAATGAGGACACAGACACCAGCAAAAGCTGAGAGTGGCCTTTAGTGAAAAGTAGTTTGCTTATATACTCTTTGATCACATAAAGTGCAGATATTAATCATTTAATTGACCTATAGCATGGTTACATGAGTTTGGAGAATGAGATTAAGTCATTTGGCAGGTCTTAGCAGTTAACTTGTTTCTAAGTAAGCTTCGTTCTTAGTTACTGTGGCTAGAAAGTCTTACAAAGGTTAGGTAGGTGCCAGACTCTTGGTTACTTTCTAAAGCTCACTATTTTATTGTTTTTATGTAGGGCCCTCATTCTTTCATAACTATACTCCCATTCTTCATCTCCAGTAGGAAAGAAAGAGGCTCTCTCCAAAAGGACATGATGACCTTTTGGCAGGCAGGGACAAATTTTATGGACTGTGCCCCGGACCCATTTTCAGTAAGACTTTCAATGGAGATTTTTCTGATCTGGAGTTAGGTAATGCCCTGTTCTCATTTGTTTTATAGTTTGCCAGGCTGTTCTTTGGCGGGCTAGCCAAAGAATATCATTTGTTCTCTGTACCCACCTGTCACCATTAATCATCGAATATGCTATTTGGAGGCCATGTAGGGGCGGGGGAAGGGACCTTGACCCAGGTAAACTTTCCATATCTTTTTCCCCCATAAACTTGGGTCCAATACTCATGGGGTCTCACTTTCCATCATCAGGGGTAGTCACAAGGGCAGTAGTGGTTTTTTCAATTTCCTTTAGGGCCAGCACCTAAAATTTTCAGGGAGAATTGGATATGGCCTCTTCCCTGAAGGGGCAGGTTGAATTGAAACCGAAATATGCAAATTTGTTAGGAGGGGCATTTGAGGAGGAATATCAGGGTTGCTCCTCTGGGAAGGCCGCTGTGCAGTCCCTGCCATCCAACTGCCCAGACTGTGTTATCAGGCTGGTGGTTCAGACCAGCTCCCGGCACACAGAGACAAAACACAGTTAAGTTGGGCAGTGAGAAAGCTCTATTTAAAAGTACGCACTTAAAGGGGAGTGTGGGCAACCTCAGAAAGGAGGCACAGTAAAAGGCTGGGGATTCTGTCTTTTAAGGATTTTCATGAATGTGACAAAGGGCCAGGGGATGTACTTACTTGTCAAGTGGTCTCAAGATACTTATTTCCAATGAGAGACATTATGTCTCCTCTCCTCCATTATCAGTCCTTCATCTAATTCTACAAAATAAACTTAGCACAAGAAATTTACTGATCCAGTTCTTCCCCAGAATAGTGGCTTCCTTCTGGGAACATATCAGTCAAGAATGTTTGCCTTGCTTTTAAGGTGGATTGAGTTATTGTCTGTTTACCAAAGAATACATTAGGAATGATACCTCCTAACTTCTTGGTTTTTAAAATGGAATCTTAGCCTTAAGATGGAATCCCTCCAGTTCTTACTATACTGTTTATATTTTGGCTTTTTTGAAAATTAATCATGATGCCTGTCTCCTGTTTCTGCCCTATCTCACTTTGGGAAATGGTTTCCTGAAAAATTAAACATGTGCCTATTATATGAGCCAACCATTCTAGCCCTAAGTATTGACCCAAGAGCAATGACAGAGTACGTTCATGCAAAGATCTGTACAGGAATGTACACAGCTCGCCTTAATTGTAATAGCCCCAAACTGGAAACAACCCAAACCCAGCAGCATGTGAATGGATAAGAAATTCATTCATACAGTGGAATTCCACTCAGCAATAAATATGAGTTAGCTACTGGCACATACAACTGGATGGATTTCAAAATAAAATAAAACAGGGTGGAAAGAGTACATGCTGTTGGATTCCATTTGGATTCCATTTACAGGCAACACTAGACAATGCAAGCTCATGTCTAGGGATCAAAGAGCAGATCAGAGGTGGCTCAGGGACAGGAGAGCAGGGAGGGCTCAGAGGGAGGGACATGAAGGACTTCTGGAGGTGGTGGCCATACTAGCTTGATTGTGGCCATGCTTTAAGTACAGATGTATATCCAAAGTTATCAAAGGGTGCACAAGAAACATGCGCAATTCATTGAAATGTCAATTATATCTCAGTAGAACTTTTTAAAAAACAAAACCCAAACTCAATAGTATAGGAGCCTTAACTGGAGCCAGAAAACACCCAGTAGTATAGGGAGCCTGAACTGGGGACAGGGGAAGAGTGACAGGTGCAACACCTTGCTGCCCCCGGCATTGAATAAACCATGTGGTGGCTGCGACTAGAAGCACTGGTGGCTTCAGTAGAAGCAACAGGAAGCTGGGGAAGGCAAAACAAACTGGGGGTGGGAGGGTAGCGGGGGCGTGTGGTTGTTCCCTCAGCTGCTGTGTCTAATTACACTGCTCTGCCCTGCACAGCATCCCGGGCGAGGCCTCTCTTCCGGTACATCGAAAGCTCCTTGTGGTCCCGAGGACCTGCTCCCAGCCTCCTCTCCAGCATACCATGCTTCATTCGAACCTTGCTTTTTCTTGAAAAATAACTAATCACATGTGTTTAATTCTTTCAAATGGATGATGTTTTCGTGTCTCCTTTCTCGCCCAGCACTGTTGCCATGGCTACTAATTGCTGCATTGTCCTCCATGGTGTGGGATCCCTACCTTCCACCTGCTCACTCAGTGGTGGGCCACCCAGGTGGCGTCCAGATAACACCACAAAGACTAGCCTCAAACTGTCCCCTCTCGACCCATGTGAGACTTTCTTTGCAAAATACATATATGGACCCAGTACTGTTGGATTGTAAGTATATTCAACTGGACTGGTTTCCTGTTACATTTGTTCCTGAATGTTTGCAAAGGAAATAATTTTTAGGACCCAGGAAAGCAAGCCCTGTGCAGGGCGGAGGGGATGGAGGGATGTACATCAGTTGCAAAATCCTGCTGGCATTGCCCAAAGTAGCAACTGAAAATACAGGACAAATTTGAGTTCCCGATAAGCAGCAAATAATTTTGTTTAAGTATGTTGCAAATATTGCATGGGATATGTTTATACTAAAAATGTATCTGTTGTTCATCTGAAACTCAAACTTACCCGGGCATCCTATATTTTATCTGGCAAGCCCACCTCCAATTGACCACTTCAAGATTGTATGACCCTTCTCAAACTGGGGAAAGGAGTCAATCACTGTTACATGTCAAAATCTGGAAAATGCCACAAATGCTTGATTGGAAGTAATGAAAAATATTTAGGAAGTCCATACAACAGAATTACAATAAACATTAAACTGTGATTTTCACAATATTTTAATTCTGTTCTGAAATCAGTCTACAAATACCTCTACATACACGAAAGCCAGTGATTTAATAAATAAGAGAAATGTATGTATTGCTTTGAAAAAAAAAACCTTAAACATTTATGTCTATATCTGATATTTGTAGAATCAGTTTCCCATGGCTCATGGGACTAAAGTGTGCACACAGCACGTACACACGCACGCACCACTATATTGAAATCATATGGTTTTATCTTAAGTGTCAAATTAAATGCTATATAAAAATTTATAACCAGATACACAAAATATGAATTGAATCATGAACACACTGTTGATAATGGATACCACACCTCACAAATATGATTTCCAGTTAGGAAAAGGGAAATAATTGCTTTGCTAGATCTTAAGTGAGCACTAATCACCATCACAATCACAAGAAATCAATTTAATTACACGGTATTCAGAAATTTAACACACATGCGGATAGCAAATTGACACTACAATAAAACCTTCAAGTATGCAAAAAGACATTAGAACATATGGTCAATAACACCATTAGCTGCCACAGGTTTTCAGTAGATGATGCAAAGGACAATCAGCTTCTTATGCCACCACAAGGGAAAAACTGGTCCTGGTGTATCTCCTACGTATCAAGGAATCATTGAAGAGCAAAGCACAGAATTCAGTATGCTGAACAAAGTTTGTTTAGCCCAGATACTATTTATCATATCGATGATTGCCCAATACTAATTTTAAGGGTATATGTTAGGTCCTGCAAAAAATATATAATTTTATTATTTACAAGGTTGAAGTCTAATTACTCAAATGACCATAAACAAAAACTTTGCAGAATGGTGATTAGGATTAAAACAAAAAGTCAAGGAGTCAGGGTGGACAGGTAAGGGCCTTTAGGAATTCCTTTTAATGCAAGCCAGCTGGATGGTGAGAGCTGGCTCTTTGATTAAATCAGCCAATTGAGAACCCATCAGAGAGAAGTTATCAAGTGCCAGCCTGTAGGGCTGATGTCATTCATCAAAAGCATCTTAAAAAATAGCAGGAAGCATGGAAATGGAGCAATTCAGGATTCTCACTAGTGACAAAGCATACTAACCATATTTTAGACTCTGCATTGGCTATTTGACAAGTTATTCCTAATCTCTCCATACGGCTGCTGAATCAGAGACCAACAAAGTGTTTCACATCTTTCCCACAAGCCAGCCCTTGGGGGCCTGCAAGTCACATTATAATCATCCCAACCATTGCCCCCAGCCTGCACATTTACACTTACTACCCAATAGGGGATGTCCCCATCTGTCACTTCCCACCATCAGTCATCACAAGTAGTCCTCATTCCCCTCTGCTCTTTCACCCTGTGAGTGACAGGTTTCGTGGCCCTGTGTGGTGTGCTGTGCCTGCCATCTTTGGGGAACTACATTAAGAACCTTTTGATGGCATTAATCTCTCTGAGCTATCACGTGGTCACTATAAATTAAGACCCTGGTACAATTCCCAAGGCCAGCTTTCAAGAAATTATGTTGCTGCATTTTGTTACCAAAAGCCATACAGGCTAAGGCAGGTGATGCCAATGGTAAGGGGGAAGGTGTTTCAGAAGGCTTACGTGCCATGAAAGCAGCTTTGCTAGCAGGTCAGGGGAGAGAGCACTCTAGACATCGGCCCCAAAAGATCCACACAGATCCAGCAACTTCAAGACAGTTGGTCCTTTTTCTTTTCTGAACTCTTTTCTGTTCTTGGTATTGATTGATACTGAAGCATTTGGAAATTAACACTGACGAACTTAGAAATAGCTAAAAAAAACTGAGTCTTCATTACAACAGACCCACAGTAGTTTCCCTCAGGATTTTTTATATCACATTGAATGATATGTTGCACTAATATATTCTACAGCCCTGATGATATAAAAAAGGTTTCTCTTCAAGGTATGAGATATGGTACAAAAATACACTTTCCATGTACAAAAGAGAGAGAAAGAAAGAGATGGGGGGGGCGGGGCAGTGGGGGAGGCCAAAAATACTACAAGCTGCCATGAGATGGAGAATGAAAAAAATCCCAAACTATTTGGGGTTAAGAATACACCCTAACAAAAGTCAAATTTACACATTAAAAGCAAGATGTTCAGATCTAACATCTACAATTTCTATCAAGTCTTCAAATAATGTTCTAACTGGAAGCGGTGCTAATTAACTATAGGTTCCTTCCTTGAAAAGAAAGACATCTTTTATGTGAGTGTATCAAACTGTAATATTGGTTCAGCGCCTACACTTAGGTGATTTGGTAGCAATGGTGCATATTCTCAAGAGGACCTTTCAGTTGATATCTGTGGTCTCAAGCCACCAGTGCCCAGATGGACAGGCCTCTCACGATTTACTGGAAGTTAAAATGGTTTTCCTATCCAGATCTCAAGAGAGCACAGGGACCTTCAGGCTTCATGTGTGAGGGGGTTGGTGGGGGGAAGTGGATATTACACTCAGACTACTAATAGCCTGGGACTTCAAAGCTTTGTGGAGAGAATGCCAATTTCCCCTGGCCACCATAAGCAAATCAATGTTCTGGTACCGAACAAGCCAAGTGCGCAAAAGGAAGGAGGGTGAAGATGACCTCCCCAAAGTAATTTATACCCTATATGCTAGAATGGATTTGTCTACAGGTATCTAAATGACAAAACTGCAATGGTTCCAATCCAGATACCCTGGGTTTCATATGCGCATGCATAAAGATTTGCCCAAGCAAATCCTAGAGAATACAGATACGTTTGGGGAAGTGAGCTGAATGCAGCAGAGTTTGGGTCCCATGATGTGCACCTGTAAAACAGAAGTTTCATAAACATCCTCAAAAACACCTGCATCTGTTTCCCAGATACTTGCAACCAAAACCAAAACTTCACAGAAACACTACACAAGATTTGGCAGACTGCTGAGGTTTCCCCAAAATGATACCTGGACCGAAAGGTCTTGGTTGTACCTCACCTGGTGGGCTCTGGGAGGTGGGCAGCCAGGGCACAGGTGAGCAGGGAAGGGCCACAGAGAGAGCTGTGACCCCTGGCCGCCTTCTGCATTCTGCAAAGACTGGGGCTCTGATTCCTCGCCCCATGTTTCCTGTGCCTATCAACATGCATGGGGCCCTAAAAAGGGGTCTCCACCAGTCCCTGACCCCAGCCTTGCAAAGCTCCCCTGTCCAGGCACCCTCCAGCTATCTGTCCTGAATGTACCTCTCTCTGCCCCTAGAAACCACCTAAAATGAAGACACCACAGACTTCAGACCAAAAGCACCTAACACATGTACTGTAAAAAATCTCAGGAAAACAATTCAGATCTTCTCCAAGGCTTATTTACTGCTGCTAACTGTTCCTGAGAATACTTCATAAGCAGCAATAGACTTGAAAATTAGCTGCTATGGTTTATTTTCCTTCTGAGGTCCTGAGTCAACCCAAAACAAAATGTAACAAATAAAGAAACAACCCTCCAGAGTATATCTGTCCTTTATAGGCCTAGCTGGCAAACGGCAGAATTAGGACATCAAATAGGTTCCTGAGCGAGCATTGATGCTCACCCAGGTAGCTCTTGGTATCAAACCCCAAAGGCGTTTCTTTGTCTGTCCTTTAATTTTCCTTTACAAAATATTAAGATTAAAATACATCAAAGTATAGAAGGGAAAAAACATCTGAGGTTTTCTACAAATAATGATTCTTCATTTAGAAATATAATTGATGGGGGCTTGGTTGGGGTCACTAGGACATTTAGTTTTATCCTTGAGCCCAACCATCCACATTCAGAGGTGACAATATTCATTCACTAAGTCAACATCAAACAAAAATAATATAAAATGAAGCTCACAGTTTTGGAACATGAAAATAATATGCACAGACCTCACCCACCAATTCCCAATGCTGCGAAAAAAACCACCTGCATCAAAACGTTTCTAAAATGTCAGGTTTCTTCCCCTCCATGTAAAGTTTTAATAAACTCAACTCGATCTGCCTTTATTAAAAAACCTTACAAAAGATGTATTTAAATGCTTGAAAAAATTAACTTTATGCTCTATGCACAAACTTCTCATACTGTACAGCTAATATGGTTATATCCTTTGTTTAAAAAATATTATTTCCACTAATGACACTTTGTGGGTAGTTCTACATAAATGATCTCGTCATTCCTCTGGGAATGAGTCCTTAGAGTCGACCGGTGGCCGGAAATACCCTCACAAAGCACCACTCTCTTGCTCAGGAACGTTTATTAAGATTGTTTAGGGTTTGGTGTTCTTTTTTTTCTTCTTCTCTTTTGTTTTCTGAGAGAGGGCGCTGGTATGAGGGGACCCGGCCGGCTGGCTGATTGTCACTTGCCGTTGGAGCGGTCCAGACTCTCTAGCACTCTGTTGAGACGGATGTTCAGCAGTCTGACCTGGTTCTCCAGGTGTTCCAGCTTCTCCTCCACGCTGGGGCTGCTGGGATTGCTGCGCCAGTAAAAGCCCATGGGCCCGGTCATGAAGTAGATGGCCACCACGAAGCAGAGGGGTAGGACGGCATTCTCCGGCTCCCCCTCGTACTTGTGCAGGATGTACACACAGGACATGGAAAACAGGACGACCCGAGCAACCCAGAAGAAGCGGCCGAATACCACGTGCAGGATGCTGAAGGTGAAGCCCAGGGTTAGAGACAAGAACCAGTAGGCCAGGAGGACAACGCCGACGAGCAGGAGGGCACGGACTGGGCTACTGGCCACGGAGGCTGGACTGAAATACTGGGACAGGTTGGAGACTGCAGAACAAAAAAGAGGGACAGTGGCTGGTTACTGGGACTCAGGGGTTTCTCTACAAGCTGGCGGTAGGGCAGCTCAGCTCACTTGCTGGGTTTTTGCAACAACCCAGGGAACTAAAGTCAGCTGCCTCATTAACCTTCACAGAAAGCCCTGGGAGAAGTCAGGGCAGCCCTTTAAGACTGCCTGCCATATCCTTAGTTTAAAATATCTCTTGTGGCAGGACAAGGCCTGCAAACTGTCCTTCAATTTCCTTCCTTCCTGTCTTCCAGAATAACAAATGGACGATTTTAGTCTGGGTCCATGGCTGCCCAGGTTAAAGGCACCTTCCAGACTCCCTTACAGCTACATGACTAAGCCTTGATCAAGGAGAGAAAAGCAAAAATGTTCTGTGGTAGCTTAAAGGGTTTTTTCCTAAAAATAGTGAGAATGTGCCCTTTACCTTGTCCTCTTCTGCCTGTTGGAATGTGGATACAATGGCTGTAGTGGGAACAGCAGTCTTGGGCCATGAGGGAATGGAAGTCACGTATGGGGGCGCCAATAATATGGAAGGTGCCTTGGTCCTGAGGACAATGTGCTGCATGGCCACCTACCTGCCTAACCACCTACCTGTAAACTTTCATAAAAAAGCAATAAGCCTCCATCTTGCTTAAGCGGCTGTTATTTTGAGTCTTTTACAGCCAAACCTAATCATGAAGTGCACACACATGAAGTTCCATCTTAAGCATGGAGTGAAATGGAAGTGTTCCATCTTCTGTGTGCCCAACTTAAGGAAATTTTCAAACAGAAAAGTTAAAAAACAGTAAAATAAATACTCCTATTGAAACCACCTAGGTTTAACAATTATGATGTTGCCATATTTTGCTTCATCTCTCTAGTCACATACTTTAACAAATCATCTGAAAGATATTGTACTTCAGCATGCATATTTTTCCAGTTTTATTTAGATAAAATTGACATACAGCACTGTATAAGTTCAAGGTATACAGCATGACTTGACTTACATATATTGCAAAATGATCACCATAAACTTAGTTAACATCTATCATCTCAGAGATATAAAACGGGGCGAGGGGTATTTTTTTCCTTATATTGAGAACTCTTAGGATCTATTATTCTCTTAATAACTCAAATATACCACATGGCAGTGTTAACTATAGTCCTCGTGTTGGACATTACATCCCCATTGCTTATTTATCCTTCATCCTAGTCTCTGGTAAACACAAATTTCATCTCTTTTTCTATGAGTTTTCTTGTTTTTGTTTTTAGACTCTACGTATAAGTGAGATCATAGGGTATTTGTCTTTGTCTGGCTTATTTCACTTAGCATAATGCCCTCAAGGTCTATCCATGCTGCCACAAATGACAGGGTTTACTCATTTTTTTATGGCCGAATAATATTATTGTGTGTACGTGTGTATATACACACACACACACACACCACTTCTTTGTCCATTCATCCATCTATGGACACTTAAGCTGTTGCCATGTCTTGGCTTTTGTAAATAATGCTGCAGTGAACATGGGGGTGCGGGTATCTCCTCAGCATACTGTTTTCATTTTTTCAGGTTTATTCACAGAAGTGGGACTACTGAATCACATGGTAGTTCTCTGATTAGATTTTTTGAGGGCCCTCTATACTGGTTGCCATAATGGCTGCACCAATTTATATTCCCACCAACAGTGCACAAGGATTCCCTTTTCTCCACATCTCGTGTCTTTTTAATAATGGTCATTCTTATAGGCATGAGGTGCTATCTCATAGTGGTTTTGATTTGCATTTCCCTAATGATTAGTGATGTGGAGCACCTTTTTGTATACCTCTTGGCTATTCATATATATTCTTTGGAAAAATGTTCAGGCCCTCTGTCCACTTTACAATTGATTGCTTTTTTTGCTATAGAATTATATGAGTTCTTCATATATCTTGGAGATATGTATATATATAACCTAACATATATATGGTTTGCAAATATATTTCCCCATTCTGCAGGTTCTATGCATTTTGTTGATGGTGTCCTTTGCTGTGCAGCTTTCTGGTTTGATGTACTCCCACTTGTTTATTTCTGCTTTTGGGGTCAAACCCAAAATATCATCACCAAAACTGATGTCAATGAGCTTATCACCAGAATTTCCTTCAAGGAGTTTTATGGTTTCCAATCTTACATTTAAATCTCCAATCCATTTCAATTTTTGTACATGGTGTCAGATGGGGTCTCCTTTCATTCTTTTATGTGTGAATATCCAACTTTCCCAGCACCATTCATCGAAGACACTATCCTCCATTGAGTATTCTTGGCTCCCTTGTCAAATGTTAGTTGACCATATATGCATGGGTTTATTTCTGGGTTCTCAATTCTGTTCCATTGGTCTGTTTTTATGCCACTATTACACTGTTTTAACTATGATAGCTTTGTAATATGGCTTGAAATCAGACAGTGTGATATCTCCTATTTTGTTCTTTTTTCTCAGGATTCCTTTGGCTATTTGAGGTCTTCTGTGGTGCATATACATTTTAGGACTATTTTATCTACTTCTGTAAAAATTGCCATTGGAATTTTGATACGGATTGCACTGAATCTATAGACAGCTTTGGGTAGTATGGACATTTTAACTATTAATTCTTCCCACCTATAAACACAGGATACTTTTCTATTGGTGTCTTCTTAGATTTCTTTCATCAATGCCCGATAGCCCTGAGAGTGAAGATCTTTCACCTCCTTGGTTAAGTTAATTCCTAAGTATTTTACTGTCTTCAGTGCTATTATATATAGGATCGTTTCTTTTTCAGATAATTTGTTATGTGTCTTAGTGTATCTATAGAAACTTTACTGATTTTTGTTTGTTAATTTTGTACCCTGCAGCTTTCCTGAATTCACTGATTAGATCTAATGGATTTTTGGTGGCGTCTTTAGGATTTTCTATATATAAAGTCATGTAATCTGCCAATATAACAGTTTTACTTCTTCCTTTCCAATTCTGATGCCTTTCCTCTTTTAAGAATAAAAATAACATCCTCTTCCAAACCAGGACACTTTGACTATACCTAAGAATATTATATTCCATAATATCAAACACCCCTGGTTATTCAGGAATATATATGTATCTGTCGGCCATCGCCTACCCACCCCAGCCAGGACCCAGTCATAGTTAATGCACTGCAAGTGGTTGTGTTGGTCTTCTGTAATCTTGAAAATTCCTATGACACTGATTTTCTGAAGGCTAGTTTCTTCACACTCCTTTTCTGGCAGAAGGTCCTACATTCTGCAATTGCTTGTTTCCTCATGGTGTGGTCTGCTGTATTCAAGGGGAGTTCTATACTAAGAGCATTTAACTTACACCGGCAGTTCTCAAACTTGAGGGTGTGCTTCCGAATCCCCCAGAAGGCTTGTGAGCAAGGCAGTGGATGCCACCCCAAGGGCGTCTGATTCCCTAGGTCTGTGGAGGCCCAGGAACCCGCACCTCTTACAAGTTCCAGAGGACACTGCTGCTGACCTGAGGGTCTCACTTTGAGACATGCTGCCTGATGCACAATCAACTCTGCAGGAGGGGGAAGGGAGGGGCATGGACTGAAGGGGGCTAAGACCATCTGCAGTGGGTAAGCGTAGATGCAGATCGCACATGAGCTGGAAGACGTGAATCTGGGCTTTTCAAGTCTCCAAATGCATCAACAGTGTGACTGCCTCCAACCCTCCCTACATCCACCAAAAGCGATCAGATTGTTGCACCCAAGGGGACACTTTCATCTGGGGTCCAACCTTGCAAAACAGCAACCTTCTCCAGGGATGAAGGCATGAGGTTGCCTGGGACTCTTGGAAGCCAGGTGCCAGAGGCACTGGGAACATTCTGCCTATATGTGGTTTTGACTCACACTTAATTCCAGCAGAAGATGAGACTAAACGAAACCTTGTGGTCTCAGGACTTTTATTTATATGGGTTCTATCTATATTTACCATAATAGAAATTCATTTTTAATAAATTCTTAACTTTGAAAAAGGTTTCACTATGATCTTGGACTTTAACATACATTCCAGGCTAATTTCTCTTAAACTTTTTCTTTTTTAAGTAGATGACTTTTCAGAGGAATTTTAGGTTCATAGCAAAATGAAATGGAAGGTATAAGTTAATTTTTAAGCATCGTTATTTTGAAATCATTTAAAAATATCAGTGAACACATTAAGGTTAACACAAATAATATATTTCTCATGAAGAATAACTGTTTCTCAAACAAACAAAAAAAAACATAGAACAGGGCATTGCTTTGCATTTTTGCAAATCTCTTTAATATCTGGCTCATTAGGAAAGAAATGGACCCTCAAAACTATTTTTGAATATAATAGAAATAGGATGCCAGCGACAAATGCAGGCCACATATGTAATTTTAACTGTTCTAGTAGCCACATTAAAAAAGACAAAAAGGAACAGGTAAAATTAATGTTAAGGTATTTAACTCAATATATTCAAAATATTATCAACATATAATTGATATAAAAAATTGTTGAATCACAGGTTGACACCTGGCCTCACACAGACATGTTGCTGGAAGAGGAGGACCTCACAGTTCCCCTAAGAGTCTCACGGTTCCTCAGAGCAGTTTGAGAACCACTGGACTGGATTATACCTCCAAAGCCACATCCCAGGTACTATGATGTTATCAAGGGGTTAAGACAGGTGATCAGCAGGAACAAGGAGCCATCCTGGGCAGGAGCTGACAATGCTAACCTGTACCCCCCAAATCAACTACTTTGGTAAAACTTCAGTCAAGGCGGGGTGATAAGAAGCAACCTTGCCCCACCAGAGGCCCTAAAAGCCCTAAACAGAACATGAGCAACTCGGGATGCACTGCCTTATAGCCAGTGGGTGCTGTGTTAGTCTCCTGTGGCTGTCACAATCAAGTACCACAAGCCAAGTGGCTTAAACAACAGAAATGTCTTCTCTCACAGCTCTAGAGGTTAGAAGTCTGACATCAAGGTGTCAGCAGGGCTGGTTCCTTCTCAGGCTTTGAGGGAGAATCTGCTCCGGGCCTGCCCTCTGGATGTGGTGGTTTGCTGGCCATCTGGCATTCCTTGGCTCGCAGAAGCATCACCCTGATCTCTGCTCATCTAAACACAGCCTCCTACCCATGTGCCGCTGGGTCCAGATTTCCCCTTCTTATGAGGTCACCAGTCATGCTGGGTTGGGATCTTCCGCCAGTCCAGAACCAGGGGAAAGCTGGCTCTGGGCATAGCCGTACCCGATTGGCCCTCAGCATGGAGAAGTGAAATCAGGTGGGTCCCAGAACTGCATGATGACTTACTTTTTGGAGCAGAGCCCCTTCATAAGCCATCAAGTGGTTTCTAGGTGTTTACCATGGTCCAGGCACTGTTCTGACTGCTTGGCATGTGTATCATTTAATCCTCCCAGTGCGCTGAGAAGCTGCATAGCATTTTCCACATGGGGACTCAGACACAGCATGACTTGCCCCAGGTCCCACAGCTAGACCAGGGAAGAGATGGGACTCCAACACAGGGTGCCTGGGTTCCAGAGTCACCCATGCCCTGTATTATCCTGATGCATCACCACAGCAGAATTCATATTCCCCCCAAAGTGATGGAAGTGACCTACAGTCTTCAGGGAAAGTACACGGCTTGATGAAGGTGGAAGCTTTAAATCCACCCTTTCAACTCCCAGACAAGTGCTTTGTTTCCCAGAAGAGTGTCTTAGGCCAGCAGACCTAGAGTGAGTTAAAGCCATGCTGTCTGTTACTGTAGCCACTGGCCACGCATGGCCACTGAACACTTGAAATGTGGCTCATCTGAACTGACATGTGCTGTGTCAAATACAGACCAGATTTTGAAGACTTCATATACCCCAAAATGTAAGACACCTTGTTTATAATTTTTCATATTGATTACAAGTTGAGATGACAATATTTTTCATCTATTAACTAAAATACTTCATTAAAATTAATTTCACCAGTTTCTCTTTATTTTTTTAATGGGCCAACTAGAATGGTTAAGATCGCATGTGTGGCTGGTACTCTATTTCGCCTGGACCACTCCATGCTAAGGAGTGTCAATTTAACCAGAGCCCTGAAAAATTCTTCAGAACAAAGTTAGAGGATCTTGCTCACAGAAATGTTTTGTACCAGAATATCCAACTTTGAAATACAGTTTCCTATAAGGCCTTTTGCACATTCAAACTCCTAAGCATAAGACACAAATTCCAAAGGTCTTTGGAGGCCTTGAAACTTATATATCATGAAAGAAGGAAAAACCATGCCATGTGCTAGCTGCGCTCATCCTGAATGTGAGCATTTAGGGCCTCAGCATTCTGCTGCGAAACAACTCTGATCCACTCCCATGTAATTAGAAGGCTGTCTCTACTCTGTAGCTCTTCATTCCAAGCTGCATGCAATCTCTTGCAATCAGGTTTGTTTAAACTGCCAGAGTTTAACAAGCTGTACAGGTGGTGAATATGGATTCCGAGCGGGATTGCATGCAATTGCTGTATCTGGATTATGCATTGACTCAGCCTGAGTCCCAGAAGGGGACCTCAACAGCCCCAGGGAGGCTGCAGGCTGCATAGCATCCTCTCAAATGGCCACACTGCTGCTACGATTCTTTGCCTGAGCCGTGAGGTACCCCGACCTGGCCTAAGACCTCTCAAGGGTTGCATTCCATGGTTCAAGGCTGGAGATGGGTTCCCAGTGGCTGAGGGGGATGACAGTGGGTGTGAACCAGGCTGCCCCACCTATGCAGCTCAACCTCAATCCCTAGTCTCCAGTCTGTAAGATATTTCTTTATCGAGGGCAGATGGCAGGATTCCAGGAGATTCTGTGTGTAACACAACCATATTGGTTCCTAGGGTAGCTGCAACAAAAGACCAGACTTGGTGGCTTAAAATAAGAATGTATTCTCTCCCGCTCTGGAGGCCTGAATTCTGAAATGAAGGTGTAGACACAGCTACACTCCCACTGACAGCTCTAGGGGAAAGTCCTTCCCACCTCTTTCAGCTTCTGGTGGCCCCAGGCGTTTGTGGCTTGGGGCTGCATCCCTCCCATCTCTGCCCACCTTCACCTTGGCCAGCTTCTCCCTGTGTGTTTCTTTGTGTCTCTGTGTACAAATTCCCCTCTTCTAAGGACACCAGACGTTGGATTTAGGACCCACCCTCATTCAGGATAACCTCATCTTAACTTAATCACACCTGCAAAGACTCGATTTCCAAATAAGGTCACATTCACAGGTACCATGGCTTTGTGGGTACTTTTGGGGGACACAATTCAACTCACACCTGCAGTAAAGCAGTGGGGCCAGCAGTCCTTGGCCAGAGGCAGAGCTGTGGCCCAGAGTGCAGCCCAGAGGAGACAGGCAAGACCCTGCTCATGGGAGTCAAGATTCCAGAAGGCAGACAGGCAGAAAACACATGTACCCACACCCACCCACATCCACGGGCCATTTCAGCTGATGAGGAGTGGTGAGTTGAGAAAAGAGGTCCCTTTACACAGGTAGTCAGGGTTGGCCCCTCAGAGGAGATGTCATGGACCAGAGACTCAAGGGTGGGAAAGAATCCAGGGTGGGCAAAGAGCTGGGAAATCACTCAGTCACTCTTGGCAGAGACCCCTAAAGGGACTAGAAGGCAGGAGAGGCCAGGCATGTCTAAGAAGAGGATGGAGGGGAGGGAGGATGAACCTGTGTGAACTCCAAGAGCAACAGGAAGTCACTGGGCAGTTTTAAGCAGAGTGACTTGATCCAACTTACTTTTTCTTTTTTTTAATTACTATGAAGTAAAAGAAGTTAAAAAAAAATCACTCTGGCTGATCTGAGAAGGGATCACATGGGCCAAGAGGAAACCCAGTGAGGAGGGATATAAGAAAGCTGATGGTGGGCCTGGGGCTGCTCTCTCTAAAGGCCTGCTGGCAAGGGACCCTTGGCTGGTATCTGGGCACTTGAATTTCTGGAGTGTCATATTGTGACTTATAATAAGAAATACATATTTGGTCTTCATTCCTGTTTCTAGCAGAGCCCCTTAAAGCCCCTGGAATTTCCTATGTAATGACACAGATTAAGGTGTTTTGGTAATTCATAACTAGCCCCTTTCCGCCACACCTGAGCTTATGTTAATGAGGTGACTTTGGAAAGATCCTAAGGACAGGGGCTGGTCGCCAGGGGCACCGACCAGGAAACTGGAGGGTTGGAGCGTTTGGTTCCACCCACTGGCCTCCAGGGAGGGGAGAGGCTGGAGGCTGAATCAATTGCCAATAGTCAATGATTTAATCAATCACACCTATGTAATGGAGACTCCATAAAAAAACAAAAGGACTGGGTCAGCATTCAGAGAGCTCCAGAGGTGTGGGAAACTCTGGCCCTTTCCCCATACCTTGAACTCTGCATCTCTTCCATATGGTAAGTAAACTGGTAAGTAAACTGGATTTTTGAGTTGTAAGCCACTCTTGCAAATTAATGGAACCCAGGGAGGAGGTGGTGGGAACCTCCAATCTATAGCTACTGGGTCAGAGCACAGATGGCAATCTGGACTTGCAATTGGCGTCTAGGGGGCAGTCTTGAGCCCTCAACCTGTGAGATCTGACAGTTACCTCCAGAGTGTCAAAACTGAGTTCAATCTGTGAACTCCTGGTCCGTGTCCACGGAGAACTGAGTTAATTGCTGGTGTGGAGAGAACACCTCTGTTTCCGGATAGGAGGGGCTCACTGGCCCGGACTCTTTGTGCATTTGGCTTGTGCTGGGTCCCTGCCTTCCTTCAAGGGGTCTGGCTTTTGGAAGTCGCAGGCAGAGGGTGCCTAGGTGAGCAGCCCTAGGAACATCCTGGGCACCGAGTCTCTGACTGGCTTCCTGGCAGCTGACACTTCACACATGTTGTCATGACCTGTGGCTGGGAGTTAACCTGTCCTGTGTGACTCCCCTGGGAGGGGGCTCTGCAAGCTGAGCCTGGTCCCCACATTGCACCCCAAGAGCCTCTCCCCTTTGCTGACCGTGTTCCGTGTCCCTTTCCTGTCATAAATCATAGCTATGAGTGTGACTACATGCTGAGTCCTGGGAGTGTCCCCAGTATTCACCACCCCTGGGGGTGGGTGGCCTGGGGATCTGGACACATGCTACTGCAGTCTTCCTAGAGAGAGGCAGCAGCCTGGACCAGGGCTGCGTCCTTGAATTCCATGGTTCCAGCGGCAGCCTCCTGATTCCTGGAGCAGGGTGGCAGCTTCCCTGGCCAGCTGGTTTGGCAGTGTTCTTGGGGTCACACATGGCTCCTCCAGCCCTTCTGACAACGCTGCAGGTGCCTCATCCTCTGTGTTAAGCCCTTTCTGCCTAAGCAGCTGCACCCATTTGTTAGAGATCCAAACAACCCAGAGGCTCCAATAAGTCGGCACTACCTGCTTGCACCACATCCTAAATAGTCTCTGTGAATCTCAGCTTTGATGGGCAGCTTATATGCACAACTATTATAGTAAAAAATGTTCACTTGTATCATCATGTCCCCTCCAAAGCATTTCATGGACCAGCCACTGTGGATACTGCTTCCACCAGTTGAGAACCACCAGAATAAACAGCACCTCAAATGAAAGATCCCCGCACACACCTACCGTCAAGTCCAAGAACATCCAAGAGCTCCATCCAAACTTTCCACACTGTTTCCACAAACATATCCACGCCAAGCACGAATCTCTCGGTCAACCTGGTCAAGAACTGCAGAAATAAAAGAACGGTCACTCTTGGCATGGCCAGCACACCCTCCTTCCTAGTGCAGCCAAGCTGTCTTTACACTTGAGCGGGAAAACACAGCCAGCCCACGTGAAAGGCCTCATCAGGTGTGGCCTTAGACCTTGCGGACTGATTTGAGCTAGGCAGGCTAAGAACCCAGCAAAATTTGTTCAAACCTTCCTTTTAGAGCCTGCACACTGTGCACTAAAGCTGTTTCATCCACTCCCGGTTTCCCCTGGTGCCTTCCTGCTCGCTATCTTGTCAAGGTGTCTGCCTTCCCTGCCTGTTTCCCAGATAAACAGAGAGCTTCTGCCCCTGATTCTGCTGATACAAGGGGCAAGCCTGAAGGTGGAGAACTGTGGTTCTCACATGTGAGCCACACCGGGATCCCCAGCATGTGGGACACTGGAGACCCCTGACCTATCCAACCCCAAGGACCTCGCACCTCGGAGGGCTTCATTAGGTCCCAGGTGGTTTTGGAGACCACTAGGCCAAAGTAACATTTATGTGAGGTGCAGCCTCACTTCCCCTGATTTTTTTGAATAAGTGATACTCTGAATACACAGTATAAAACTCAAAGTTCCAAATGGGAATTAGTGAAAAGTAAGCCTCTCAGCTTACTCCCTGAAACCCAAATCCCCTTCCAGAGACACCATCATTACCACTCACATGCATGGCCTCTCTGAGATGTGCTGGGTGAATAATGGCATAGAAAGAGGCTTTTTTCACAGGGCAGCCTATGTGCATGGTACTGCAGTGATTCTCATTTAATAGTCTGTCTTGGGGATTACTTAGCCTCATACCATACAGAGCTGCCACCCTCCTGTTAACAGCACACTTGCAGCTGATTAACCAATCCCCTGCTGATGGACACCTAGGTTGTTCCAGCCTGTGCTACTAGAGCAAACAGGAGTACTGCAGAACCCTGCACGTGCCCTCTGGCTCAAAATGCCTTGAAGTGTACTGGCTGCAGTTTTTTAAACTGGATGTTCCAGTCAGATCGCTCCTCCAGGACGGAGGAGAAGGAGCAGCAGGGTTGAACCAGTGACCAGGAGAGCAGAGGATCCCAATGTGTGCACCAGCACCATGGTGTGGCTGAGAGTGCACCAGTTGGGAGTTTAACTGCCTGGGTTCAAATCCCAACTCTGCTACCTACTACTCATTAGTTAGCCATGGGTATATTCTATATATATACACATACCAGGGCTCCAGCTAACATATGCCAATAATAGTACTTACCCATCTGGTTATTGGAGCATTAAATGGGATATTCGTGTGAATGCTTTCATTTGTTTTGAGCATCAGTAAATGGTCAAAATGCCTATGGACATCCAATATTCTGACAGAGCACTGACCCCAATATGTCCTAGAAGGACACCATTCTTTTGGCCTTAGGTAATTGCTCTAAGGGGATTTTATTTAAAGACTATGAGGCCATCAACTGATGTACAGATGAACAAAGCCTGGGATGTCCAAACAATGGGATATTATTTGGCCTTAAAAAAGGATGCATGCTTCCACATCAATGGACCTTGAGAACGTGATGCTAAGGAAAAGAAGCCAGACACAAAAGACATGCAGTGTATGATTCCACTTATATAAATGTCCAGAACAGGCGAATCCATAGAGACAGAAAGTAGATCAGAAGTTGCCAGGGGCTGGGGGAATGGGGGAGTTGATAGCTAATAGGTCCAGGATTTCTTTTTGAGCTGATGAAATGTCCTAACAACACTGTGGTGATGGTTGCACAATTCTGTGACTATACGAACAGTCACTGATTTGTATACTTTAAATGGATGAACTCCATGGTTATGTGAATTATACTTCAAGAAAGCTATATAAAAAGTGTAAGTGTAAAAATATCCTAAAAAAAAAAAAAGACTATGAGAAGGTCAGAAGGAAGCATACAGTCAGAGAGAAGGGAAGGCGGCTGCCCCTCTTTGGTGAGGACAGGGGTGGGTGGGGAATTTGGGAGGCAGTTATCTTCACCCAGGTAGAAGGCACATTAGTACTGGTTTAGTTACAATTTTTAGGAGCTTTATTGATATAGCACTTACAAAGCATTAGGTTCATGTCTTTAAAACGTACATTCAGTTCAGTGAGTGGTTTTAGAAAATTCAAAGTTGTGCAACCATCACCATAATCTAATTTTAGCACATTTTGTTGCCCTAAAAGAAGCCTTGTACCCCTTAGCAGTCACCCCCATTCCCTCCTCCCCCAACTTAGGCAACTGCTAATCTCCTTTCTGTCTTTATGGATTTGCCTTTCCTGGACCTTCCACACAAATGGAACCACACAATACATGACCTTCTGTGCCTGGCCTCTTTCACTCCCAGTAACATTTTCAGGGTGCATCCGTGTTGTAGCACAAACCCGTGCGTGGTTCACTTGTTTTTATTGCCAAATGTATTCCATGTTACAGATACCACATTTGGTTTATCCTGCCATACTTCTCTAAAGTACACAAGTTATACACATTCATCAATGAATAGCAATTTTTATAATTTGTTCAAATGGAAGAAAAAGGAAGGGCTCTGTACCAAGGCTTTATGAGAGATTTCAGACCTTTAAAATAGCACCAACTGCCCTAGAACGGGGTCTGGCTGTTTCTGCCAGAGGCAAGAATGGTTGGGTGGCGACCTGGCGTTCCCAGCAAGGACAGAGCCTTGGCCCTGGCTCCAAACCGAGTGGCCACCTGTCCACACAAGGCCCACCCTGAAAACGGGCCCAGGCAGGTGGGAATGGATGTAGGAAGGGCCCATTATCGGCCTTTCTGGCCACACGGAGGGAAACTTGCTCTCTGCCCTCTGGGCTGGCACTGCTCGCTCTGGATACAGCTCCAACATGACACCTTAGCCCACTTCACCTGTGTGAAGACACAGCAGCCTTAAGGGGGCGTGATCTGTGTTCCTCCAAACTCCTCTGTTGAAGCCCTAACCCTCAGTATCCCAAGATGTGATTTAGGGACAGGGTTTTTAAAGTAAATGAAGGGGACAGGTAAAATGAAGTCACTAGGATGGGCCCTAATCCAACAGGGCTTGTGTCCTTCTAAGAAGCGGAGATCAGGACACAGACACACAGAAGAGAGGCCACATAAGGACACAGGAAGAAGACAGCATCTACCTGCCAAGGAGAGAGGCTTCAGAAGAAACCAACCCTGCCAACACCCTGGGCTCAGATTTCTAGTAAATTTCTGTTGTTTAAGCCACCCAGTCTGTGGTACTCTGTTACGGCAACCCTGGCAGACCATACAGGTGTTACAGTGAGGCCCAGAGCCTGAAGCAGTTCACAGAAAATCCAAACCTGATGCTTGGATTTTGGTGCAGTTCACAGGAATACAGGAATAAAAGAACAGGGGAAATGCCACCATGAGGATGTATCAGCCAGATGCAGGCATGGAGATGGTGATGGGACAAGTGCCCGGCTTGTCTACCCCATAAACGGGCACCAGAACAAAAAACAGTGGAAGAGAGAGGACCAGCCATGAAAAGTAAAAGCAACTTAAATCATGCTAAAAGTATGTGCCCTTGACATGGCATGAGGACAATGGTACTTGGCCCTTGTGGCCTTCCTCCCAACACCTATGACCACAGTCTAGTCATGAGAACATCAGACCTGTCCCAATTGAGGGGCATCCTACACAATCCCTGACCAGGACTCCTGAAAACTGTCCAGGTCACCAAAAACAAGGAAAGGGAGAAAGTGTCACAACTTGTCACACAATTAAATGCAATGTGATGTCCTGGATGGGATCCTGGGACAGAAAAAGGACAATAAAAACCAAGGACATCAAAACAAAGAGTGGGCTATCGCTACATGCACTCTACTACTATTGGTACATTAATGTAACAAATGTGCTACATGAAGTCAGCTGTTAATAATGGGAAATTGGGCGTCTGTACTATCTTCTCAATTTTTCTGTAAGTCTAAAACTGTTCTGAAAGCAAAAAAAGTTACTAAGAAATTGAGAGACTTAAAGGACGCAGCAGTAAGATGCAAGTGAAAACTTTGGATCCCACTATAAACAAAGCAGTTGTGTAAAAAGACATCGGAGTCGGTTGGGGATGCTGGAAAATGACTTGGCTTTGTTCTTAAAGAGCTGAGGCATGATGATGGTATTGTGCTGCTAATGATCTTTACAGACTTATTTGTTAAAATGTAGATGAAAGTCTTCTAAGGTGAATGAATATGTCTTGGATTTGTTTTAATGTATTACTCCAGGCTTAGAGAATTTTTCTGACGACAGTATAAATATAACAAATGTGGCAGAAAATTGATACATGGAGGCACTGAGTGCCGGGTGCCAGGTTCATTGTGCCATTCTTTCTCCCGTTGTCTGTTGGACAATTTTCCTAATGAAAAGTTAAAACAAAGGAGATTCGGGTGAACAAATTCAGGAGGCTTGTGGCCTTCCCATGGAAGAGGACAAAATCACTCAAGCTAAGGATCTCATCCTCCTCCTCTTGCTGCAGCAAGGCCTGGACACCCAAGTCCAGAGGGTTCCTGCATCCCAATCTCTCCTCACCCCTGTCACCACCTGACATGCAAGCTGGCTCCAGGGAAAATCAGGCTGTAAGGGCAAATGTTTTGATGAGCAAATCAGAGAAGGCACAGGGTTTCTGCAGTTAAGAGGTCGCCCAGGCATGTAAGGAACATACCAAAATGCAAAGCCTACATAAACTAAAAATGCTGGAACAAACATACAGATCATATATGAATTACAAGGGGGAAAAGCCACCCCTAGGGCAGATACCCTGACAGCTGCCATGCCAGCACACAAGACCCCTTATGCAGAATTCTCACCAGAAATGTATGTCCTCAATCGAGAAAACAACAGACAACACGCATTTCAAACGACAAAGGTCTGCCAAACCCCCAGTGAGATACCAGTTCAGCCCCACCAGGATGGCCGTGATAAAAGTCAGAAAATAACAAGTGTTGATAAGGACCTGGAAAACGTGGAGTCCTCATACACTGCTGATGGG